AATATGAAAGTGTCGAGCCTTATCAGCCAGCGTCAAACATTTAACTGAAAAACCAACAAAATTCCATGCGAATAACGCCATGCCTGAAACGAGTCAGGAAGACATTGTACGTGCAGAGAGTACCAAAGCGTTCAAAAGTGTACAGAAGATCTTAAGCTAATCATTTGCTGGCCCACCAGCGAGAAGGATAGGAAACATGAGAGTCCCTGTTTTTACAAAATTCTCCATAGACAGTGAAGCGACCATACACTAACTGAATTATAACCTCGAAGAATGAATCAGAAGAGAAGTGTGCAAGGTCGTTCGACCCTTTAGTACTACGAAGTCGTCCAACCACTTCTGCGCGCGTTTAATTGGACTCTCTAGGAAACGAACAAAATCCTGGACATCCTGTAAATAATCAACGTATCATATTCCCTGTCCGAGTAGCCTGATGTCCGTAAATCGTTGTCGTATCTCGCAAAAGGACGCCTAGGACTTCGTGCTGTCGATAGAGAGAAAGAGGATATCCAAGAAGACGACAGCTACGAGCGAACACGCCGATAAATATCGAAAAGAAAGACAGGACGATGAGGATCACTGTCCTAGAAGTATCAGGATGGCACAGAGTCGACGCCGCCGAAGCCTTCAGGGCCAGTATGGCTCCTCCGATCGTCTCGAACGTCGAGGCTATTCGCGGGTTAAAACCGAGTCCGTTCCATACCCGTGGTACGAACGTACGAACCGACGGACGAACGAGAAAGAACATCCGAGATAGAAGGAGGACGAGAACGTGGGAAGAAGAAGAGGAGGCTCTTCTTCGAGGAGCGGCGAGAAAGATGGAAGGAACAGGGGCCTTACATAGCGATTGCTGGCAGGGCCTGAAATAGACCTCGAGAATCCCCCTGTAGCATCCTCTCCTCTCTTGCTTCATCTCCTCCACCAGCACCTCCTTTTTATCTTCCTCCTCCTCTGTCTCATCCTCCTGTTCTTCTTCTTCTTCTTCGTTCAGCAACCAGAGTTGCCTGTGTAGCTCGAGGCTCCTTTGCTTTTGTTTTCAGAAAAAAGGACCAAGTCCCTCGACTGGGTTGTGAGAAGTTGTTTCTAGCGTCTCGTTCGTGCGAGAAGCGCCAAGACGAAGGGAGAACGAGGACGCGAGGATAGAAGAAGAAGAAGACGAAGAAGAAGCAGAAGAAGAAGAGGTGGTGGAGGATCGCTTGTTTATCCAGGATCAAGCTTCTGCTTTCGCTTCACCCGCCGATATATGGCCACGAACAGAGGCCCCCGTAGGCATTGCCGGACCTAAGTGCACTCCAACTGCATTCTCATGGGAATGCGTCGTTGAGAATCCGACCTGCTAAACTGACCTGCGCCAACGTTACCAGCAAAACGTGACCCACGCAACGAGCCAATGCTCCAACATACTAGATTCGACCAAGTCCGACCATAGATCCTCCTCTTTTTGCTTTACCAAACAGATAGGTAAAGCTTGTTTGTTAACGAACCACGTCGTTGCAGTAAATTCGATGCCCCCATGCGAGGTTACGGTGCAAACGAAGCTTCCATGGGAGATTCTATATACTTACAATGCGGGGGAACTTGGTCATCGTAAAGATTTGCGACAGAGATGACCACATGGCCATGCGTTTGATCGTCATGCATTATGTATGCCACTGATTTACCAGGCATAGATTTACCAATCGCTGCAATATCAAGAAACTTATCGACTAACGTAATCAATTGCCAAATTTAAGGATCTTCCACTTCTATATCTCCTTCCACAAGGAGATCCACCTTGTAATGTAACAAGAATATACTACATTCCACTATGCAATCGATGGTGCCAATCTGTCATAAAAGAACTAATAATTATATTACATTATATAAATCATTCTCGACGGTATTATAGTTCTGAGGGTTGTAAAAAACATTCAGAGAAGGTACACGATAATTAAAGCTGAAGCCAGAGGGCTGCCATATGTGTACATAAAATTACCCAGGGCATCGACGCATACAAGGTATGTCAAGGTCGCTGAAAGGTGGACCCTCTTTTGCATAATTACCTGCAATTCCTGCGACTGTCCGCTGTCGCGAGCAATTATTCATTTCTATTTACGATTGAAACTCACGCCCATGCCGGCCTCCCCTTAATAAGGTAGCCCTGAATCGGTATAGCATAGGGATGCACGAGGAAATTGGCGCTTAAGAATCGAAATCGGCGTGTTTTCGTGGCAAGCAAGAAACGTACAAGACAAGACTCGCGGTAGGTCTCGAATGTCACGCGAGCTCCTTTTTGTTGGACCGGTCGCACACCGCGTAACAGAAATAACACGCGTATGATCATTGATCCAGCATACGTTACAAGATACCGAATCGATCGGTGGCGGGACGCGAACAAAGAAGAGGTGGAAGACGACGAAGAAAAAGAAGCTCCGCTTTGTGGGGTACACGGTTGTCCGGGACCGGTTACCGGTTACACTTTGCACATCGTAACCGAAGTAACCGAGGGCGAGTCAGGACGGTCGTTAGACGTATTTCAGAAGCAGGTGATCCCTTTGAACGAAAACACGCGGCCAGAAATGAAGACTACCTTGAGACACGAAACTTTTTGCGCTCTCGGACGCTCCACGGTCCCGCGCGTGGATCTTCGGCTAAAATGTTGCCAAGTAATCGTACCACGTAGCTAAGCTACTTTGTCGTGCAAAGAAAATTTTTTAAAAACTCGAAAATTCCAAGTTTGCATGAATCACTAAGACCTGTGATCGTTATTAAAAAAAAACGCACGTTCGAGTACATTTCCGAAGGGAAATAATCTCTTCTATCATGCGAACACCGATCAAGAAGAGGATCGTTAAAAGCATAATGGTAGTTCGATAGCGAGTAAGCAGCTCGAAATAATTAGGATCGAAGCGCGGACGCGAAATCTCATCATAGTTGCTCGTTCTGGACGGAGTAAAAGTTTATCTGGATGTATTTAAATGATTCCAAAGCGATTACTCGTTGCTGAGACGCCGAAGATACCTATACCCTTAATGGCGAGGGTCGTTCAATGCCGGCGAAGAAAAAACTAAGCACGGAAAGAGCGAGGAATAAGAATAGACGGCGCCAAAGGCTTAACAAGGGAACCGGTTCATACCTCCTGCACGAGTGTACGCGACTTTCATGGAGAATCCAGCGTCACTTCGACCGCCTTACAGTATATCGAACGCTCGTATGATCCTCGTAATATCCTGGTCGACTGCAACCGTGCGCCAAGCTTCGAGTAATTGGCATCGGGAGTCACGGTGACGGTCGCCGAGAGTTTATCATCGGCTCTTTCGACCAAATCGTTCTATCACTTTATCGGTTCCAAAAGATTCTATTCGTGATAGACTCGAATTAAAGTTCTTATAGACCCGAAAGCTCCGGAGATTTTGTTGTGTCCATATACGAACCTTGGCGAACATGGTTCACTCTAACGATCAATAATGTCTGTAGTATCCCTTTTATCGATGTCGTCTACACTCGAGTTATCTCTCTCGACCACACCGTATATCGATAAGGATACATTTGAAATTGATTTTGACGAGGTTGTAAACCGCACACTTAACCATCGACCGATGACAGGTAGAACGTAGATAACGTCGTTTAAGCGGTGGTCGGTCGAACATCGTTTAATCGATCGATAGCAGAGATTTTGAGGGATGGTATGTTGTGGCTCGTTCCCAGGCACGCTCAGAAATCAAGTCTACCTTGAGGTCGGTGTCTTTTTGCCGCCTTGCCGTCGATACGATTCCATTGAGGACGTTGAAGACCGTGAAGAGACGCCAAAGCAAAATTCCATCCGCTCGCAACGTTCGAACAACGTAAAACAAACTAAACGATGGTAGGAACGTTTATTAATAGCGTAGCACCGCCACTCCAAATAGATCCGAGAGCCGAGTTCAGCGACAAACGATCTCGCGAGTGCTGCTCGCCTGATAGACCGCTTCGTGCCTCTCGTTCTTCGTTCCATCACGCCGCGAGGATCGTCGAGCTCATCTTCTCGATCCGTGACCAACAGAACGCGAACCGTAACACGCCATTGAATTTCAATCTCGTTCCAACCGAGTTATCGAGCAAAAATCGTTACCGGTCTGCTCGTCCGTTCGTATTATAAAATACGTACGTACGAGGCTCGTTCAATGAGCCGTCATCTTAAAAATCTCTAAGTAAGAAGTACGATACTTTCGAAATCATAGGCCGGCATCGCCGTCGTCAATTTAAAACACCTGTTCGACAACTATTTTAGTACGCGTACATTTGATCGTTCGGACAACGATGGCGAGTCGTCTCCTAGAGTGCTCCGTCGAACGACCACATTCAGTGATAAGATTTCCGGTTTCTGACGGTGTAAAATCACCTGAAATTTACTCGCGGATGTTGCGAATTTTATCAGTGGATCGATCGGTTTCAAAGTGGAGGAAAAAAGTGTTACCATCTAAAGTGCGATCGAGAACCATTTTAAAAATCATAATTTACGAGTGACCGAAGGCTAATTAATAGCGGATGACGTTATCCGATAAATCTTCTATACACTCGATACGAATCTTCCGACGATAAATCTTTTTCTACTCTTTGTCGTCCGATTCGCAAAGTCAGCCATGAATCTGTCAGGCTGTCCGGTCGAATGAACGCGCAACGCTTTTCCATGTCTGAAAAGTTCTTCTCCGAGAGCAAAATTCGAACGAGCCTGAAGTTCGAGGTTCAACGAACGCACCGCATCATCCTCTGTAACCCTCCGGCGATGGTGAAGACGACGTCTATTGTGGTACCTTTTTTGCGACCTTGTCACCTTGCAAGTTTTTTGCACGGCCAAGTCGATTACATTTCGGATCGGAACGTATCTCTCCCCCGATGGACGACGCGCTCTCTCGCGCTGTCCCGCTCGTGCACGCTCGTCCCTTAGCGAGCTCCGCTCGTCCTGCTCTAGGTTAGCCAGTGAATCATCTTCAACGACCCCCTCCTCTGGGATCCGGGCAGAAGACTCTTAAGGGGGCCCACAGCGTAGCGCGAGGCCAGTCCGAGAACGCGACCCTAACACTAACATCCGGTGTATTCCGAGAGTCGGAAACGGAAACGACTGCTTGATCGATTAATCCACGCCACGCCGATTAATCCACCTACACCCAGCCATCATGAAGATCGCTATGCTGCTGATGCTCGTCGTCGCTTTCGCTTCAGGTTAGTATTTTCTCTTTTCGCGATAACTGAATTGCGTTTGTGTGCTCGAAGGCTTTTCGAACAAGCTTCCGTCTTAAAATCTATTCAGACACTCGGATACAATTGGAATTCTGGTAATGCGCGCACAATTTGTAATTCGCGTCTTTGGAATCGTGCCAATCGTTCTTGATTCGAGGACCTCTTCCTTGATCAACCTCGTGGAATACTTCTGCGCCGAAGAACGTATTTACGTTCTGTCTTCGAGTTTGTTCTTTGTTCCTGAACACCGACTTCGACGTCCGGTGCATTCAAAGAGTGAAAAGGAAACGCGTTAATTTCGCATGCCGCTTCAAGATCGCTCGTCTTTCTTGGTCGTTCCTTCGCTATTCATTATTTACGCTACGAGCGTACAGCCATCGTTCTTTCCTATCGTATTAACAATCGTGCATTCGTAGGAAATTTTCAATTCCTACTTTCATAGATCATTGTGTCAACCTTTTTGTACTCGCTTCCATGTATGTTGTGAAAATAACGCGTCTTTTAAAAATTTATAGAAATGGTCTTGAATATTGGTACTCGGTTGTTCACACGAGGATTAATTGCGACACCAGCGGTGAAATTCGTAAACGAAATTTGCCACTCGAAGCGTCTAGCATGCGTCTTCTTTCGAGAGAACAGTGGCGGCAGACGTCTCAAGGCCTTCGGGTCGTTTACCACCACCTGCGCCGCTTGCTTCGCGATCCAGAACGTTTTTACTTTAAATGCGCCCTATCAGTTCCTTGCATGTTTCTCTTTCAACGCCTCAAGGCGTTCATTTTTTCACGCCACGATGCTTCTTTATTCAACTTCTCGTTCGAAGTCGTCTATATTTCCTGTGAATTTTGAGCACTGCTCAATTAGTCTGTCCGATAAACCAAGGTTACTTTCAAGTAGCCAGCTAAATAATATCTGGACGAAATTTCAAGGTCCAAAGTTAATAGAAGAATTCGTCGCGTGGAAGCAGTTCGGGGGCCTAAGCGGGTCATAATTCATAACTACAGTTAACCAAATAGCCGTAGAAGTTGAATGAACTCGTGCGGTGTGTCGTGCGAACACACGGCACTTCTCGCAAAGCGCAGAGTCGCTGTAAAGTTGACTAAAACGAATGGCGTCGGTGAAGTGTACACATCGAGAGGTAAATTAAAATCGCGTTAGAGAATGATTCAGGCAGCGGTGTTGAACTAAACTGAACAGAATTGGTCGTCGAGTGTAACTTTATAAGCGACACTATTTTTTATCGCGCTCAACGCGAGACCTAATTAACAAGAATGGAGGAGAAATACCGTGAAACTCGACCGAGTACAGTATCGGTAATAATTAAGTCGAGAGATCTTGGTGAAATTGAATGTAAACGAAAAGGGAATATCGGAACGAATATAGTTCGATGAGTTGCATCTGTTAATTAACGAGTTCAAATATTCACAGTTGCTCCCAGACGTAACGGTTCTCGTGAACGATGCTAAAATGGGACATTGAATAGATTAGAATTCACAGGATGATTTTTACCGCGTCTGGGGGCTGCCATTTGTGGTCTGGTCGGAAGTCAATAGCAGAGACGTGCCTCGATGAGATAATACGTCGTCAAGAAAGGAATTTCCTTTTTTATTCATCAGCTGGCTTTTGTCGAAGTCGTCTGGCTCCCCCGGCATTTCAGACGAACTGCATTCTCATTCACGGTTTAATTTACAAAAGGAAATGAACAGGTTTTACAAATACTTCAACTCTGAACCTGTTCGAAAGATCCCGTTATTACGCTTCGAGTTGAAATTTTGTATTTTTATTACGCGATCAGGATGGAACGTAGCCCGTGGTCAGGCAAGGATTCGGTAACGCGTCGAATAATGAAAATTAATTCGCAGCTCAACGGATCACAACGATTCAACTGGACGGGGTACAGTACTTCGTGTCCCGGATGAACCCGTACAGTCCAGAACTGAACTATTTTTTGGCCTACCAATACTGTCGCTCTCTGGGTCTTCAACTGGCCTCGTTCGAGACAAAGGAAAAGGCTGACACGATGACGCAGTATTTGAAAAACGCCGGCTACGTGAAGTACGACTTTTGGACATCGGGCAACAAATTGGGCACGGACATGTTCCTGTGGATGAGTACGGGTCTGCCGTTCAACGCCACCTTCGACTACATGTTGAGGCGACCTGGCAACAGACCCGCTGACGTTCCACCTGGTACTGAACCTCAACGAGTAGCGCGTGAAAGGTAAGATCAAACCGATAACCGGCCCGCTTCCGACTATTTTCCTACCATCCCACATCGAACAAACCCAAGCTTCTTCGAAATTCGTTTCAAGTTTGCTCTTCGATTGCTACAAGTTCAAGTGCATTATTTTTCTTTGCATTTCCTAAACTTCTGGAAATAAACGAAGCTTAGTTATAAAAACTTATCGTGTTCCATGGTCCCGAAATATCTCGCCTCATAAATCGTCGGGACCCTTTCTTCCTATCGCACACTGGTGAGAGGTCAATGCTCCTACGAAAACAGAAACAAGTGTCCCTCGAAAGAAGTCGACACACGAATCACGCTATCTTGACCGAGAAGACAATAGCGCGACGATCGATTGATCGTCACGAACGACAATTATCGTGTCCCTTCCGTAGACCGCGTCTTAACCCGGAAACGCGTGCATCGAATCGATAAACTATACCGAGAGTGATTTAAATTCTAATCCGGAACTTGTCCGTTTCAGTGGCGACAGCGGCAGCGCGGACGGATGCGTCGCGATGGTTGCGCCCACGTTAGCCTGGGAGGCTCAGGACTGCACCCTGGTTAAGGACTTCATCTGCGAGCAAACAAGATGCTACTACTACAACTACGGCAGCATTCCAGTCTCTGCGACTCAGGGGTAAGAGGTGAGATAATACTTGTCACAAAAATACACGAAACCGCCGAGAGAAAGAGAGATAGACACAGTGAGATAGGCTATCAGAAGAGTCCAACGTGTTCCAAGGTGAATCTCGATGTCGCACGGACAAAAAAATAGAAGCGGTAGATAAAGATACTCGCGCGAAAAGGACGTCGCCGACCCACGGAGATCCTGTGGCTATTTACAGCGACCGCGCTTTTAATAGACTGGATCCCTTTCTCGATACTCGCCTCTTCGTATATGCAAATGAACGCGGCGAGCGTCCTGACGTTCCGATACGGCCACGTTAATTGCGGTTAACGATTTCGCGTTAGGTAATTAGATCGGTGATCTAACGAACCGACCAGTCCGGATTTAACGGACCTATCGTGCGGACATTTTTTTCTCCGTGCAGTTATGCGACTTAATGGAACAACCGATAACGCTTCATTGAATAATATAGTCTGAATAAGAAAATAAAATGTAATGGTACTTGGGAAACTGTACAACTCTTGGTGACGTTCAAACGTAATCGCTTATCATCGGCGGTATTAATATCGCGAAGATAAAATAGCAGCTTTTTATTTAATTAATAACGCATTCTCTCGCTTCTCGCAAACGTCATCAGACACACGTACACGCATATGCACACTACACGCAAGTGTGAAAAAGTGTGGACACTACTGAACGAGTAGCGACTAATGACTATCAACCTAGTAGTGCTTCCAGACTTTTTCCCTACATATGATGCTTCTAACAACCAATTAACTTTGCTAATATTACACTATGAACACGATTACTCACTTTATTTTTATGCACACTCTTTAACAAACTCTCTGCAAAACTGGGTTTACACGCTCGTACTTGAATACTGGTGCAATTGAACTAGACTAACTCCTAGATTCTTCCAGAACCAGAGGTAAACGATAATAGCTACCATATACTTGTTCTTAAGAACAAGTAACAAGTATATGCACTTAAATATACAAGTACGCGGAAAGTGCACGAGCGTATAAACCCAAGGAAACGTTATCGCGTTGCCTTCAAACGGGGCAACGACACTCGCCTGTGAACGTCGTGACGAATTTGCAGAAATCGCAGACCCTACATAACAACCACCTCGGCGCCAGCCAGCGACGACCAGGTCGAAGACCACGAGGAAAGCGACAGCAACAGGAACGACGAGAACCAGGACATCGAGAGCGGTAGCAACGACGAAAAGGCAACACCGGAAGAGGAGAGTTCCGTCGACGAAAAATTACCTGAAGACCCGGTCGTCAGCAGGCTGATCACCACGGCCGTTCCCGCGTCTGACAAGCAGCAACAACCGTCCACGTCTTCGCCGGTCGCCACCGAGGAAGATCACGAGCAACCGACCAACGCCGAATTGGACAACGCCAGGCCAGATCACCTCCCGGACATCGCCAGCCTGTTCACGGACAGTCCTGGCCCTCAGGCCAGAAAGGACAACGTGTTCGAGGGTCTGCAGACGCGAGAAGTTCATCGTTCGTCTCTGCGCTCGTCCACCGACATGAAGGTCGAGCATCGAGAGTCACCGGACTACCTGGAGGCACAGGCTGAAACGGAGTCACCCAACAACGGGCTGGAAGACGCTCACACGGTCGGTCCGTACGACAGCGTTCAAGATTATTACGCGAACGACCAACCGGAGGCGGCTGAATCGTCGATGATGAAGGATCAGGACGACGACAGCAGCACGATCCTGCCAGAGGCGGAACCGGCCTACAGGTACAACATTAAAGTGCGCACCAACGGCAAAGTATTAGATCCTCCGTCCAAGTAAACGCTTTACTCATTAGGCTATCGTCCCGCGTTATTATTCGTTGATAAGTGAAGCATGGAAGATTCTCGAGGAACTAGATGTATTAATGTACGTTCACATGTGTATATCGTGGATAATTATCGGACACGCGAGTGTCGTCATCTCTCATTCGTCCGTTCTGATTTCAAGCAACGCATTCCCGCAGATACTCGGATCGTTCTTCATCGTTCTCGCGCGCCGGAAGGAGAGAACCTTCTTTGCCGAAGATTCGCTTTCTATAACGATTTCGCTCGATCACTAGACTAAGCTGGAACTGTTTGCTCAAAGAAACTAACTCGAAACGTAAACTGAAATCAACGCATCTCCTTCTGTCGCTGATTCCTGACGACGAGCGACGTCGTTCCAACAAGGGTATTTGCACTCGTTCATTCGACTCGTTTCTTGATCGTCCATTCTGTGACGCTGGCAGACACGTTGCATCTGCGTCGCTAATTCTTCTGTTCTTTGGTCGCGTTTAACGGAGACGTCCAAGCACGTCGTAGCTGGGTAGATAGCAACGCGAACGCGAGAATTCGTGGGATCTCAGGCATTACGGTAGGAAGCGTTATCGCTGATAAAGCTAACCGAGAACGATGTTCGGTGTGGGGAGTTGGTAGTCTGCCAGCGCCACAAATCTTCATGCATATCGATGTAATCATCTTAGGTAATATTACCCGTACGTCTGCAAGATGAAACGTTTCGCAATCGATCGATTTGGCCCCCCTTCTCTTTTGCTTTTCATTCGAACGTTGAAGACGCGTCGAGTGCCATGCTAAGTTCGTACAAAATCCTTTCACTTACATTTTCTAATGTATTATTTGGATAGAATTGATCGAATCTTTCCGGCTAAAGTAGCTGACAAATCCATGTGAAAATTAATAAGTCGCTAACTGATCCATGGCACTCAAAATGTTGAACATTCTTGATCGGGCTAATGTTAACGTTTACCGCAAAATTGGAGAATCTGGGTCTCGAAGGATGAACGTTACTCGAAGAAGCAGCGTTAATCGCAACGTTTCCGTCATCCAGACGTATGATAATCGGCGCACGCCGCGAAAAATACGATTCTTCTAATGCTACGATAAGTCATTGACACATGGAACTTGAATATTATTGCGTAAACACGGCGCGAATGTGCAACTTGTGTAATTGAATATTAATAAAGGTACGAAATACATTGTAACGTCAGCAAAGTCACTTTACATCATCCTACAAACGCGTAGCTAGCGGATAAGGCCTGTTTCAAGATAATTGGAATCACTTACCAGCCGTTCACCACGCCTTCGATGTTCAGCATCGGTACAATTTTGAACACGTAATCGTCTCGCAAACTTGTCGCATAAGCGCTGTTATCTAACAGCGCCTCTAAGGTACCATGCATCACCCAAGAGGCGTTGCTTTCACCCGGATGAACTCTCGACGTCAAGAATATCACTTTACGATTCTGAAAAAACGATAAAACAACTGTCGCACTGCATTCGCGTCAGAAGTAGACCTTCCTTCGAACTATCTCATTTTTAACACTGTTTGAGACCTGAGGATGTGTATATTTCTTGTCAGAACTATTGCAAATCCATGTATGGAGCATTCAAACTTATGTGATATGAAATACATAGCCATCCTGAATATCGAACAGTATTAAATCTGAAGATATCAATCGTTAGACTCACCTCTATGGGGTTGCTCTTAGAATCCAAACTCGTGATAGTCAGCAGAGGATTTTCGTTGGCGTTCAGAGTATTGCAGAGTGTTTCTGCTCGGAAGTAAGTGTTCGCAGGAACTCTCTTGGTCCACTTCCAGATATCAGTCATCAACTGGCTATACGTGTACGGGAAATGATAAGCCAGGTAACAGACGTCATAAGCGTGAGGAAAGGTGACCGTAAACGAAGTAGTGAGATAATTCTTCCCCTTGGCTGGTCGTTGATAACAGTTTCGATAGTAACAGATTTCTGTTCCGGCTCTCACCCAACCTGGTCTACCCAAATGTGCTTCGGTGACGCTGAAAAGAATCGGTTTCATGCCGAAATTGAACTGCGAATTCGCCTTCTCGCAGTTGATGATGTTGAACGTGTAAGGCACGTTCGCCTCCATGTTGGACACCTCGAAGTAGAACCATTGGTGCCTCGAGCCGCTGTTCACGTCTGGTGTGAGGATCAGATTGTACTCTCTCAGGCCTATCTGCAAGGAAGCGAATTGGAAAGAAATGATGCAGATTTGCCGCGAAACAGAGGTTTGTCAGAAGCATACTTTTCGTTCGAAGGATATATTCATGGAATTTGTACCTGAATAGCTTTCCTCAAGTTCCCGCTTTCGAATCTAGACTCGAACTGCAGCTGATTCGTCTCTGTACAACGTTTTCCTATTCTGCTCTCGTCCCAGTTACACAAATGTTTGTCACTGGAAGGTTGTTCGTCTACGGATGCTACCGCGTCGAGATCGTACACCACTTCTTCGACCAAGGTACCACCGTGAAGACCGCGTTCCACGCACGTCAGAAGCTTCGAACGACAGACCTTTCGGTCTTTGTTGTTCAGAGGTTCGTCCTTTCCTAGACCGTTGCCGCCAACCAGGTCCGGATAAGCTACCTTCACGAAACCGATCACGCTCTTCACTCTGCTCGCCACTATGCAATAAGCTTGCTGATTCGTAAAAGTCGGTAATATGTCGCCGAAAATTTTAATCGGGTTGCTTCCATTCTCCGTTTGATCTTTGTTCGCATCCTCTTTCACCGAGTTCTTCGTAAAAGTTTTCGAGTTAACATCCGACTTATTCTCCACGGATGAGTCAATCAGTTCTATCGCAGGCTTTTGAAAAGTTACTTGACTCTTCAAGTTGCTCAGTTCCTTGAAGAATGTGTTGTACCTAGCAAATGAGACATAGATTTAATCGATGAAATTAACGTATCGTTAATTACTGAAAAATCAACCGACTCGGTCAGGTCCTCTTCGGTTCTCTGAGAAGTGAAGACACCAGCGAAGAATTTACTCTCGTCCACTTCGTCCGCCGAATGGATAGTCTTCTCGTCTGTTCTCGAGTTCTGACTTTCTTCATCGTCTCCAGAATCAAGATCACTGTATAACCTGCCTAGAGAGGCCACGCTGTTCCCCTAAATAAAACGTTATTCTGATCAACGATACACAGGTGATCCAAAGAAGTTCTCATCGATGCAATTATACCGTGTTTCATGACCGTGTAACGCTTCGAAGAGTTACGTTTCACCCATTACATCATTCCGTACGACAAAAATACGCACCTGACTATCGACGTCGCTGCCGCTCTCGGCGCTGTTTGGCCTAACGTTCGCTTCTGGTAGTACGAATCTACAGAAAAACATAAATGAAACCCACATTAAATCATTGCACGTAATTAGGATTTTTCTCCGAAATGAATATTAAAGAATATATCACTGATAAGTGTTTGAAACAATTCTTTGATCATATTTTTTTCAATTGGATATCTCTTAAGTGGATGAACCGTTAACCCAGATGGAAGATAAACGGTTCCTAGAACCAATTCGAGCGATTGATCTGGATCAACCTTGAAAGTATCGTTCACCTTGCTGGAGACATTTCGGGTACCGGCAACTCCTTCTTCTCTAGACATTGATTGATAACCCCGCATACGCGTGACAGGAGACAATCGTACGCTTTATCCTCCGGACAGTTGCTGCAGAACCGGTACAATAGATGCAGTCCATTGTTCGCCTTGATTGCCTTCCTGCCAGCTTCTGAAACGGGCAAAAACACGATCGTAATGACTCCATCCAACGGCCAGCGGAAACGCGAATTTACATGCGAAACGTTTATGCCAAAAAAATAAACGGTATGGTAAGAAAATTTATACAGCGAACGAGGATGATAGCTATACATATTTAATGTCCTTCTCTTTTTTCCAGGAACGAACAATGAAGGTCATCGATAAACTTACTCGTGACACTCAGGTGCTGCAACGTAATGAGAGTATAATTTAAGATCTTCAACTTTATCGGTCCTTCGAATCGTTCCCATCTGTCGAAGATTCTCATCAATAGGTACACCAGACCCAACTTTACGAACTTCGTACAGAATAATCCTGCGAAAACATAATTAGACCACTATACTAAACTGCAATGAATTATAAATAATCTACGTACTACTCGTCGTAAAATATTTGAAGCACTCCATCAATATCCTCAGTTTCAGATGCGGCATGTAACCGATGCAGACGAACGTCTTCTCCAGAGTATTGGCGATTCCGTCCTTGACCAATATTTGAAGAGAGTATGCTAAGCACAGAAACGCAGTTGACAGGAAACGTAGAACATTGGAAGATACCGAATAAGTTTACTCACTGTTTCTGGCAAGGCATTTGATGATCAACAGCAGAGGCAATAGAGTCTTACTGTTGTTGTAATGTAGCTTGAGAAGCATGTGGAACACTTTAACGGTGCTAAGCAGTTTCATCTTGGCCACGAACTTCTGGTCCCTCGGTGCCACCTGGAATTTTCGTTGACGAAACCTTGCGTTTGAAATAGGGATTGAACGATCTCGAAGGGTATTAGGGGAACAATGATGTCGTACCTGGCCCAAAATCCAAAGCACCTCCTGCGTGAGGACCTCGCTCGACACGCTGTCCGTGTGCAGCAGGTTAATCAGAAGCTTAACCAGGACTTGCGTGATTCCTAAATTGATCAGCTGCATCACTGCCATTCGGCTACTGGTTTCTGTAAGAGACAGTCCATTAACGATTCGATTAACCGCAAATTTGTTTGTCAACTAGGATTGATCCTCCTCGAAACACGCGATCAAGTTTCGTCGAGACAAAGGGACACTAACTTGTCGAAAGCTAGAAATTGCTATTACTTGTGACACTTTTGTTCTTCATTCCTTTGGACTTCCCCTTGGGAACTCGAGGTGAAACACACTCGTGTATTATGCTGGCGATACTGCAGTTTATCACGTGATCCTTGCAATTCTGAAACAAACACGTTTCACGAGATGAAGTATTCTTTTGTGTAAGATGGTACACGCTATTGGTTCCATCCTGTACTAAATGCAACGACTTCTGTCGAAAGGTCACCAGGATAATTATACGAAGCGTGCGTGCAACGCTTATCAGAAAATGGAACGAACGGGTTTCCAGTTTTGCATGCTGCAGGAAGCTTCGTCGACAGGACGGACAATGGGATGCGACCTAACCACGCCATTTCGTGCACAATGTTTATCGTGACACGGTTATTCACATGCTTAATTGGATTCACGGAGCGTCGATTAATCGCCAGGTCTCGAAAAACCGCGACTCTCACGAAAATCACGAACGAGACACGACACGGTCGTTAAACAAAGTGGACGGCTATGATAAAGTAATCAAGAAAGTGACAAAACGCTTGCACCTTCTAGTGCAATGTAGACTTCTTTTAATGAAGTTAAAAATCTTCAAAGACCGACAGCGAATAGCGGTATGCTCATAAACTTATTTTGAACTAAAGAAGGCTTACGTTGCTCACGAGTGTACTACATGAATTATAGCGATGTAATTAAGAGATACCCACCTCCAGCGTCGCAATGAATATTTCCATGATTCCGGAATTCTTGCGCCATAATTTCTCCAGCGTGCGCTCGCGTACGCGTCGATCTGAAAAATACCCGCTCTTGTAAATGCAAATATTACTCGAGGTATACGCAATTTTTTCACCGAGCGAAAAACACTTCATTTTATGAATACAAGAACAAATCTTTGATCGATCGCTACTCGCTTAAAACCCGTATAACGCATCTCATTATAGAGACAAGAAAGTAGGATGTAAATCTTCTGGGGACAAACACGGTTTTCCACTGCCAAACGTTCTACGTATATGCTATAATAAATAATCGAGGAAACAGGTGCGAGAAACAGTGTCTTCCATAGGATAGACATACTCTGCATTGGCAAAACGTGGGGCTCCCATTTCAGACTTGACACAAGGCCAATCGGTTCCAATGCCATGAACACCGAGTACAAAAAACTGGACATTGATAATTCACACCGAGTGCCTAGTCTGGAAATGCTACTGTCTGTCTCTGTGAACGATTGTTTGCACGGTGAGCATTTTTCTCTGTCATTGAATCGCTCGAGGGACATTAATCCTGTCATGTCACAGAGCCCTGCTCTAGATCGGTGATGGTCTAAACCGTGAGACGCGTCTAGCCTACAAATATTACTTGCACTCCATTCATGAAACTCTATATAGGTCAGAAACTAGGTAAGGATAATTTAGAGCAAGACATAAAACGAAATGTAATTTACAAATTTGATTTATTTCCAGAACTTGAAATCTTCGTCACTGCACTTTGTCCGTCACTGCCCTAGATCATGTACAATTTGGATTCTAGTCCGGACGAAAGATAAATTTTACTTTAGAGATTAACTCATTCGTGGTATTAATATAAAACGATCCTCGCACCACCATGCGTGTGTTGTTTTACTTCTGTGGACTCTCGTCAATATGTGAGAAGTCGAATGTCTTGACACTCGATGGAAAAGGGCAAGTATGAAAGTGAAAGATACAAAGAGAGTTGGAAACAAAAGCAGATATCGAACTTCGATGTTCGCCTAACGTGTGAAGAAATTACAAGCTGATGGAGCAGAAGTTTATTGGAGCTTTTTTCGCGCTCGCGACAGGCTCGTTACACCAGAAACGATGAGTCAGTGCGATGACACTGCATCCGCGACGAGCTTTCGAGCTTGCAGAAATATCGACCGACGAGACAGGAAGCCCTTATCAAATTGGCACGACCGCAATTCACTTCGGGACCATCCGACACTGTATTGTTCTGCCTTTGGACCCTGTCCAAACGATCTATCAGCGTTCCCGAAAGTCCTTATGTAATCGAACGAACGGGATAGCCGGCTTTTCGAAAATAACAAGTGACGTCCCCGTTGCTAAAACACCTGTTCGCCGATCCTGACCAACGAAACGCGCGATTTTCTTCTCGCGCGTGACTGACACTTGTATCGAAATAAACAGAGTACGGTCTAAATTCGTATGCTAATGAAATGCAACTTTGATTATCCAGCGGAGATAATTTCGTGGCATGCTGAGCCGCGATTAAACGCGATTTATCCGTGCGTGCATCTGGCAAATATCTTCTTTCGTTGCTATACATCATTTTTCGCCCTTTTAGTTTCCTTGACTTTTTTCATAGTTAGTTAAACAGCGTGAAGCGTTGTAAATGACCGGCTGAAATAACACGCTATCTGTTGACTTTAGCGAAAAATGTTTCAAGCGAAACTTAGTTTATTTCGACAGACTCGCGATGGTTACTTCTGTCTGGACATGTCTTCAAGATCTTAAAGCTACCTAAGAAAAATTTTTAATCTCAAGATGTCTCCCTTGTTCAGGTTTTGTTTGAAACGTTTTTTAATGAAGTCAACGTTTTCAGATGATCATCCTGAGTAAAGAAGCAAAGATGTTCGAAAGCGATCTGCGTTCACGGGTTTGCGATTGACGTTCACGCGACCAGTTCATTTTTTCGACACGAAAGTCTGACATTTCTCTGTCCATGGCGATTAGTTTTCGTCGCAACGCAAAGGAGAGAAAAATGTCGAGCGTTGATCTCGCGTAAAGGGCTGCAGCGTGCAAACACCGAGTTATGGCGGCAGTAATAATAAATTGTGCAAGTTTCTGGTGATTAGACCGATGAAATAGAAGCCAACGTTCGCGGTAAAAATAGCAATTTAACGGCACGAGCCCGTCTTAAAGTGTCCAATCTGTTTCAACTCGTTTAAAACTTTGCTGCCGCATTCGAGACTCGTGCTAAACGTTTGCTCGTGCTTCCAAAAAGAAGAATGAATGAATGGAGGACCTAATTCCCTACCGAAGTATTCGTTTTCGTGTTCTACCTAAAAATACAATCGTTCCATTCCGTAAGAAAATTGATCATTTACAAGATTTTAACTTCGGAGATTCCCTTTGATAATTTAATGGCGTACTCGTGGAAATCCTGTATTGCATATGTGAAACACGTGTCAGGGGTAAATATAGTTACCTGTGGATGTAACTCGCGCTTGGATCTTAGCTACAACATTTCTGAAGGTATCTCCGTTCTCCAGCGGTTTTGCGGCGCAACTCCTAAGCTTCTCCAACAGTGCATCGTTTATAGCCTCGTCCGCGTTTCTGTTGCTGGGTGACATCACGCTGAATCGCAGAAAGCAACAATGAAAGCTTAATTACCAGTTAATCGACTGCAAATCGAACACCGGGCACACTAATGAGCATGCAATGATTTACACCAAATACTATTTGTGCAAAATTGGCATCGCACAGTAAGCAAAACAATGCAAATTGAACTACCAAAAATTCACGCGATATTCATCGATCAAATCGGTCTTCCGCGTGTAATTCGTAAAAATGGAGGGGGAAAAATCTGTGTGGGTCTGTCACGTTTCGAGTCACACAAATACTCAAATGAAAAAAAATATTCATTGTCGTGTACTTAACCAAAGGAGCGCAGCCGCTAGTCCTACTCTCGTCGTCTATAATAGTCCTTGGTCTATCTGCGATAAAGAAATCACGATTCTCCGTTTAGAAAGAAAACACGTGTAAACTGTATGCGTCGTGTCGTTCGCGGTATTAATCGGCTATCCATTGGCGATGGGCCAAATTCGTACATAATGCGCATTAATCTCCTTTCACGATCAACCGACTTAGCCAATGTCGCAGAAATGAAGATCGAATGTTGGAAAGCATTTCGCGTCCCGTTCAAGGTTAATTAACGCGCTCGAACAGCAAGCAGTGTTCGGAAATAAACCGCATGAATGGTTGTAAAACATAGCCAACCGCTGGAACACTTTCATTATTGCGAATTAATAAACAACAGCGGTCAATTACTTTTCCTCGATTTTATGGCATCTTTATCCTTCTGACCCTTCTCTAGGGACAATAACCGAACGAATTGTTTTTCATTCTCAAAGAAGAGATGTGTCATTCCAGGTTGGATAAAGATGTCATGAAAACTATGGAGGATTCTAAGCGACAATGTCTGAAGCTGCAACAAAAATGCAGGTGCAACAGTCGATGGGAAACGATTGCTATATTTTTGGACTATTCGAACATTCGACACTAACATCGAAGATATTAGGTATACCAATAAGTAATTCACTGTTGATAATGAATTAGGAATTTAGTTTATCAAACCAGCTGTATAAAACACTTTATGGATGTCAAGGAGATACCGTTAGGTATGCATGCAGATCAGTATGACCTTTTCTTGGCAAGAATATCGTACCATATGACATGCAGATATTTGTCAAAAGGTGTATGAAATACAAATATCTGACCCCGTCAGCTTGCTCCAGAACATCAGACCGTACTTTACTCGATCGATTAAGAACATTTGGTACTCGATCGAGACCTTTAACCTTATCGGGTATAGACTTTCAAGTATTTCGATCAATGCAAAACTGAGCCTCGTGTGCAATTTTAGCACCTTGGGACCCAATTGTGTTTGAGGACAAAGAGGCATTTCATATAAGTGAAAATGTCAAAAATTTAATTTCGTCAACATTACTGCATTACCGATTGATATACCTAAAGTCAATCGCCTGCATTTTTCAAACTAATGTCCACGTTCGAGAACCACATTATATCGGCGGAGATTTACTGCTCGTAAATAATGTAGTCTGCAATTTAGCCGAACATTCTGAACAACACAACGATTCACTTGGCCAGACCGGTATCCGACGGTGCCAATACAAATTTTGCAATTATCCGTCCAGCCAAACACGACGACTACTTCTGTCTTTCATCGAAATGTTTAAGCGTCGCTCCGCGAAAACGCCTCGATCCTTCGTTCGACGTTACCGCAAGTTTTTCAAGAGACTTCGAGAGAAAATTGAAACGCTACGAAAGGTGATCGTCCGATCGAATGACAGCGTGCGCGAGCGAAGGAAGCGTGCAACGTCGAGACGGCTCGAGATGTGCGTTCAGAACGGGACCGGAAACCTGACAAAGTGCGACGAGCACACGCACGAAACGCGGAGACGGGTGTTTTTGTTAGTGTTGAAATTTTTACTCTTCGTCCTGGGCATCTTGAGCGTTTTCGTCGGCCTCGTGGCTCGTCTCCATCGGCCGCTGGTTCTCCTTGTCGAGTTTCTCCGATGCACTTTTCATTCTCCCCCGTCGTTCGCCGACTCCTCTTCGCCTCTTCTCGCGGAAAAGCGTTCACCAAATTTCAACGAACACACGACTCTCGATAACGTATCGATTATTACCTCGTCGACCTTCTTGCACTCGAACCTTTTCTCGTGCACCGAATACCGTTCGCCGATGTCACATTTCACGATCGTCTCGGATCTCGAAGCCGAAATACAAGGATTTCGGTCAATGTCTTTTGTGAAATTCGCGGAACGATCCACGCGCTTTGCCACTCCGAGGCGGTTTGACGTTTCGCGCTGCCAAAACTATGTTTAAAAGCATAGCACGCACGCACGAGGCGCCTCTATTTATAGTGACGGCCGCTTTCCGAAAACCGCGCCCCTTTTCTCATATTTTCTATTGCAACCCCCCTTGTTTACACCCTTTCATCCTATTGACGTAACTAGGATTTTTCTGGAGTGGCTTTGGCCTTACTGCTACCGTCAACGCTCCGCTCCTGGCGCGATCAGCTGACTCTTGAAAATTTCGAGATTCGACAATACGGGTTTTGAGAATTTTCTAATTTATGAATTTGGAAATTTAGAGACTTTCAGATTTAAAAATGTGAAAATTTAAGCATCGAACAAGGTGGTCCCTACCTAGTTGCGTCAATGTCCCATCCAGGGGTTGTTAAACCGGACGAACGGGTGAACCACCACCTTATAAATTCCTCGTGTTTCGACAGAGTCATGGTCGCAACAGATAATTGTTCCAGGCACTCGTAAAAACGACGCTTCGAGTCAATTTCCACACCGTCACTACGAGTCACGTGAAACTAACACTTCACTTTCATCCTCGCATCGTAACCTCATCGAATTTTGGAATAAAAATTTCTCCGAAAATATTGCGTAAATTGAAAACATTCGAGAGCAGGTTTTTAACGAACGCGTTGTAAATCATTTTGGATGGGAGCTGTTTCGAAATGGACTATTGTTTGACGCGATGGAAGGTGATGGAAACGAAATCAGCTTGCCAAAAGGTTGGAAAATATGCCACCTTGGTAAAAGCGCATTAATTTTTGGTGGAACGTATGACTTTAAGTTATGAAGGAACAGGTGAACACGTATCTCGGCGATCGGAATATTCACGGTGCAAATAAGAATGACACACGGTGATTTCCAAACACGATCGTCGACTATATGTATCCGAGTTGCAACGAGCACTTCAGGGATCCTTAAATAGATTCGCGAATTGTCGAAATCGAGCTACCTTTCCAAACTTTCGCAGAAAAGTGACTGAAAGTGTAGAATCAAAGTCCAACCGGTAATTCGTCTTACAAGTTACCAAGCTTCGAATTGCTTCACAATCGAGACCGAAACATTCGCTACCACCTCTGAAAATAGAAAAGTTTTGAAGTTCGATTTAAATATTTATATTTGTAACGCTTCATAACCTATAAGAAAACGTGTGTCTCGGAATAAAGTCCGCGGAGATAAAAGAGAAGTAATTGCTTCGCTTATAATCTTCTTTTGTCGCGTCTGTTTGGCCAAGAAATTCACGAGACCAAGCAAGGAGCACAGAACAAAAGGAAACCCGAACCTTCCCCAACTTTCAGTCACCCCTATTATAAGATCTCCGCTGGAGTGTCCTTCACGATGATTCGTGCAACGAGGGTGCACAAGAATCGCGGGCTGAATGACCCTGCTCGCCCTCGAGCGTGAGAATCCTAGCGAAAACAACGATGACCAAGAGGAAAACACGAACGTGCAACGACACCGTTATTAATAGAGAGGTTATTAATAGAGAGCTTTTCGATGAATTCGCGAAGAAAGGCGAGAGAGAGAAAAATTGAGGAAAGATGGAAATACCGGCAGAGATAACCTTCGTTGACCACAGAAAGTACACGCACTGTCGCGAGAGGGTTAGCGACGACGCGAGGATGTCCTCGGGGGTCTTAACCTCGTCCTCGGGGACGTCGAGCACCGTAGGCGACGATGGGTGTCGCGGATCTCTACAGTGAACGCGGCAGCTTGCGAATAAGCGAGTGCTGTCACGGAAGCGTATGCGGCACTTGTTGATAAACACGAAAGCTCCCGCGGATTGATTAGTAGCCGTGCGAACTTTCACGAGTACAGTCGACGCCTCACGAGCTTCGCCCTATCGATTCTCGAAACGGCGCTCTCGTTCAAACTGGTCCACAGCCGTTATATCGCGCGGGTCTTTTGTACGAGTTCAATTGTCTCCGCTTCGTTTCGTTGATAGGAAATTTAGTACAAAGTTGAATGCGTCTTTATCCTTTCAACAAATTGCACCGGACGAATAGATGCTACTACGAATCATAAATTGTTAACACGTTACACATCGTTCTGTTAACCCTTTGACTCGGCTGGGAGGACCTCTGTTACGTAGCATCACCTTTCATCTACGAAACACTCTATATGTACCTCAAATATAGCTGATTCTAGTTACATCACCACAAGTGCTGTAAAATTCTTAAAACTAACGTAGAAAAAGCTCCGTCTGAGTTCTCTACATTATACTCGTCGCATAGTACGATGTACACAAATCTGTACGAAGGAGAACTTATTGAATCGACAACGGCGACAATATAACGAGAGTCTACTGTATAGTTCAGTCGCTCCTCAAAAAAACATTTTACCAAACGTCAGACTATATTGCGTTCTCGGGTTTAGAAATGGTCACATTATCTAATTTAATCTATTTAGAGGTTAGTACGTACCTCGAACTGTCAGGTTGACATCTACTCGCGTCGCTCCTCTTCCCTTGATTGTCAACGCGTCGTGTCGCATCTTCTGGTCTCATCGTCGGTGCTTGTCTTTCGCATTTTCCTTGGCTAGTCAACCTTGAACAGCATGGTTCAAGGGCCATGTCACATCGGAATTGAACTTCTCATTGTCAGTCCCACGAAATTCGCGAGACGGCCATGATCGAGCGATCGTGTCCTCAACTCCACGATTTTGTTACGCACAAAAAATTTGTCGTTCAAGATCGTGAAATTAGGTTACCTGCAAACTTTTCCACAAATGTCAAAATTTTTGGCACCGACTCCTTGAAGTCAATCTCGATTTCCTCTCTCTCTATATGACACCTGTGTGACCTTTTTCGTAGACTCGCTTTAATCCTCCGGTTGCAAAAGACGGAAATGTACGCCCACCGTCAAGTTTACATGTTAGTCGTCTTGTTGCTGTTTTATTTTTAATTGAGCGTACATGAAAGGGTTAAACAGTTAGAATTCATTTTTTTTGCTAACAGGATGTTCTGTAGTTTCAACCGAAGAAAATATAATGGCTTTCACTAGACTCCAACGATTGGAGAATAAATTCCTCGTCGATCAAATTCGAAAGATCGGAACGATGACAGGTATACTAACCGGAGCACATTAGCAATGTAAATTTGGGTGTTAGGTGCCAGACCACACCCTTCATTCATATTCTAAACCACAATTTACCAATGTTAACCGGTTCACGTATTTGTCTTTCCAGCACTCGGTCTTAGTCATTCTCTTCGTCGTAATAAAAATATTTTATATTATCTTATTGATATTTCTAAGATGCTTTACTAACTCAAATATTATAATTCATATCAGTACTTCGATAACTCGCTTTCTACTTATTTCGAAAAAAATGTACCCCATAATTTTCTCAGAATTTTCGAGGTCTACAAATTACAAAACTTTCGAACCCCGCAGCTCTAACATTGGTCCATCGAAGGGTTAATCGAAAATACAACGGACTAGAGTTAGATTATTGTACAGCACTTACATCGTCGAAAAAAAGAATCACGAGCAGGTATCCCGTTCGACGTGGCGGAGGATCGAGAGGAGACGACGGAAGAGCAAAGCGTAGGAGCAAAAGAAAAAAAGAAACAATCACGGATGATATTCGGCAGGGTGGGGGTTTGCTCTCCGCGAAGAATATATAAATCGCGGGTAGGGCTGAAATTCAGGTTAGTACAGATAGTTTCTGAGCCTATCGCGAAGCTGTGTTCACACCATGCAGGTGAGTTCTACGCGTACTAAATATTTCTCTATTTTACAATAATACTCGTCTCGAATACTCTGCATTCTGCAAAGTGATATTCCAATTGGTCCGCGTTTCTGTACGTGCGAAAAATGTGAAGAGCATTGGAAAAATGTTAATGGTTCCGCGAAATTGTTCTGCTTGTTGGTACAAATAATTCTGGAAACAAGAACAACCGTTATATCTGTCGACCAAATCTGTTTCCGCGTTGATCGCGAATCGAGATCATTGATATGCGAAACACGGTAACTGCGCATCGAGCCAGAGCTCGTATTATCAAAAGAGTCCGAGTCAGTCGCGCTGTTTCTTTATTCGACGCAGAGAACGATCAATCTTTGAGGCGGACTACCGCATTGTTTCTCGTGTCACATAAATTGAAACGTTTTTATCTTGCCCCATAGTATATCCGTCATTCCGTTCTCTTTCGTCGGTGGCAACAGCTTTTTATTTAAATATACGTATATGCATTTAGAATCCTTCAGTTTTTTTCAAGCTCCAGAACAAAATAACATAAGGACTTTGGTCAAACATTTAGAAGATTAGCTACTGTAAAACATCATTTTTTGTTGCAACCAACAATTTGTCATTGCTATGTTTAATTTGTTATCAACTTCTTTATCGGCTACTCGTGATCTTCACTCTAGTTCAGACAATTATGTCACATATATCACGTTCTAGATATCAAACACAAATATTTAATTGTTCTTCTTCAAAAATTATACTTTAATTATTTGTAAGAAACGAACAAATATTCGATATCATTCGCGAGTATTCCTGAAAAGCATTTCGTAGTTATTGTGGTTTTCCTCTTGTTTAAATTCAGCTTATCATGGCGAGACTAACAGGTTTCCCCCGCTCATAAATTCGACTCTTTTTTATGTATTGACTAACAATTTGTTCGAAGGTTCACGCTATTCTTGCCATCGCTGTGATCCTGGTCGTATCGATAGAGTCGAAACCGATCTGGCCAAACCTGTACGTGAGCAATTATCCTTCGCAAGCCATAAGCGTGCAGCCGCAGCTCCTCCAGTACCAGGACACCTACTCCCCGTACTACGTTTACAATGTAATGCATCGTAAACACTTCAGGATTTTTTTAAGCAATTTTCTTTTATCGTTCATTCACGTTTCCTGCGATAGGTACGCACAGATGTAAACACGATTCCTGCAGCCGTCCTCGCAAATGGAAAGCCATCGGTTCCTCACATACCTGCCTATAATTTTTATTATGGGACCCCGGTATACGACCTCCGATTTCCATTAAATCCGGTAGGAATTCCTGCTATTTTATTGTTCACGTAATCCATGAAACATGGACGGGTCATTATATTATGTTTGTGGGACTTCGCATAAAAATCGTGTTCAAATAATTGGCTTTCTCGTAGGTATATCCTGTTTTGAAGCCTGGTCAACCAGGACTCCAGCCTAAACCAACTGCACCATCAACGACCACCACGAAACCAGCGGACGGAAACGAAGATGGCATCGAGAAGTTGGATACGAAAGTTGAACCGGAGACAGAAACAAATAAACCCATGGAAAATAAAGACGAAGACGACAGCATCACCGTAGATTCGATATAATTCGTGTTTCGAATCGATTTTAATCCAATAAAGCATTTATACCCTTCCCTATTACGATTACCATTCTTCGCTCATGCAGAGGACATTGAAAGAAAAATTTTTAATAAAAATATAATCGAACACGTGCCTTGTTTGCCAACTTTTATGATATGAACTCTTATTAACATTGTATCCAAAAATTTACTCCATGACATTATCTAAAGAGTTCCATTTTTGTGAATCAACGAACATTCGCTTCTATGTCTCGCGGCGAAAGGTTCGTCGAGAATCGGTCAATTTTATAGTTGGCTATAATTAGCTATCTCAAAATAAGAACAATCGGTCCGTACATGAACAACAATCAGGTCCCTCACCCCAGAAACCGAAGATAAGCCGTGGTTAAAGATGCTACCGACGCCTTCCGAGTCGTTCATTTACCTCGTTGGTACTCGAAGCATTCGAACGGGACCATGATTATGAGAAATCTATGGCTCGTCGTTCTTCCGACATTGGTGCTTCTCGTGATATCGGAAACGTTCGCACGGAATCCCTTGAGTGTCAACGAACGCGAGCACAACGTACTGACATTGTCCGATGTCAAAGGGAAGAAGATAAAGCACAAAGTTCGCGCACCTGTCAGCGAGCAAAGTTTATCCGAAGATCTCCAAGGTGAGAGGATTTTCAAAGCGAACGAAGGAAAGGAAGACGATGGAGGTAGATTTAAAAGAGACGCAACGGAATTGGACGAGGTGAAAAATGCAAAGAAAAGCTACGCGAAGCTGAAGTTAGCCCAGACCGAAAATGATTTGAAGAAATGGAAGAACAAAGACTATGGGAAATACTTGGATGAACGAACGACGAGGAAAATCGACAAGCGACAAGCGGATTATCACAATAATCGAAAAAGTGCAAACAGATTGAAGAGGCATGTAAAGACGAGATATCAGCTGGATAACAAAACAGATTATTACGCTCTGAGAAAAGCTGTCATGGAGAGATTTTATGCTCGACAGAAGGAGATAGAGGAGAAACATGCTAAAAAATTGTCCTCCATTCCTAAATACATCCTTACACGCAGTTTGGAGACTAAGACCGATACGAATAACGTGTCTTCGACGAGCCAAGTCGAAGCAAAAACTGACGAAACGAACAGTGTTAATGATCTCGTTACTGATAGTGACCTCGGTACATCTTCTTCTGTCACGACGACTACAGAATCATTTACGGAAGCTACAACAAAAATCGATCGTAATAACTTTCTAATGGAAGTTCAACCTATCGAAAATACAACCGAATTTCTTAGTGATGAGGACACTAATAATATTTCTGATAATAATGACGAGGAAGCAGTGAGTAAAACAAATGTTATATTGTAGTGTTAGATGTTAGGTTGTCATGTATTTCATAGTCTCGCGTTAGATTACCAAACATTATGTTCACCACGCACTAGATCACATAATCACATCAATGAATCACATCTCCCTATTATAGAACAAAAATAAATTCGTAATATCTATATAAGTTTATAATATGGATTGATATTAGGAATATAGGAAGGTGATAAATCCGCAGATAGGTTTATCGTGTTCAGAATCTAACGAATGAAATTTATTATTCATAAATAACGAGTAAAAAAGGAATTACAATCGATGTATTAAATAATCATAAATGTTTTTAGGACGACAACGTGATCGGCACTTTAAAATGGGGTAACTGCACGGGAAGATTGGTGTACAAACACAATCTGAAATTGACCGTACACGATGCGGTATCCACCGTGGCGAATTTGACAGCCTCGTTCAGCGGACCATTTTGCATCACTTGTGTCAGAGCGATACCGATGAACATTACCAAAGGCAACATGCTGTTAGACGTTGCTAAAAACGAAAATGACGAACCCGACACAGTGAAGGTCTCGATGAAAGGCTTTCATAACGATGAACTGTGGTACATTACCAAAGTGTGGGCTACGACTAAAAAAGAAGACGTTTGCGAAGAAGTGAATTAATGGCAAAGAACGAGTACGATCGTAAGAACGAGATCATGTATAAACACGCGTACTGAAATACACAACTTTTACATACATCGAAGTGATAGTTTCATTTTACAGTCACTTAAAGTTACATTACCAAACTCGCATGCCTCTTGTAGAGATATAGCGTAATCGTAAACTAAATTTTGAAATTTTCAGATTCTCCAATTCCGAAATCTTTGAATTCCCGATTCCAAAACCACTCGGTTATCCTTGATACCGATCGAGTAGATTTATGACCACGCTATATTTCGACGAAGTTCGTAACAGCAGAAGCGCACTAAGTCCACGTAAAGTCAGTCTGAACGAAGAAGGACTCAGAAACCATCCGGGGTTCCGTCTCAAGAACTTTTGGGCACAGCTGTCGGAAGGGGTGGTGGCGGCACATCTGGTATTTTCTCCTTCTGCTCCTTTGTCACGGGTTTCTTCTCCTCGTGGTAACCGGGAAGCAAATGTTGGGAGAGGCCATTCTTGGGCGTAGACGCGGGAATCGGTTGCACGGTGCCAAAAGGTTGATAGTCCACGTAGTAGGATCCCGGAACGAGATGAGGGTTGAAACCGTTGTACGTGTAAAAGTAGGGGTCGTAATACAACGACTGATAGTTGGGATAAAAACTGAGGGGTTCTTCCTCCTTCTTGTTCTTGGAACCGGCTCTAGTTCCGCCTTTGTTCTCCTCTGCACGTTCATCGGTCGGTTCTACTTTCGTGCCCTCTGCTTTCGATGATTCTATAGCTGCTGACGATTCCGCTCGAGCGTCACCTTCGTTATTCGGCTTCAGGGCACTCTGAGAGAGGTGTACCACGTCTGGTCCAGCGAATTGGGGCGACACTTGCGTGTAATAGTACGGTGGCACGTAACCGACCGCTGTTCGATGAATTATCGGCTGTATCACCGGAAATGCCCTTGACGGAGACAGGTTCTGGTTGCTGGTAATAACCGCGTTGTACACCTTGGGGACCCTCAGTAACCCTGGGTCTCCTGCTGCCACGGCGATCAGCGTGAACGTAATGAACAACATCTGAAAAGGATAAATACAGCTAGGCAGCTAATGACGCTGTAGGAGCGCAAATTTTTCAGAGCGTAGGATTATGGCAACATGGTTGAGGCGGATACATGGTGTCACGTAAAATGTCGGGTTGCCGACGGAATTATATAGTTCATAGTCCTTTGTCTAAGTATAGCAACGATAAATCTAGAACAACCACGCATGCATGAGCACACATTGATGCAATGACAATGCAATGTAGCAACGTCGTATTGTAACCGGGCATAGCTATCAATCTCTTCCTGCACTCGTCACGGAGTTCTAACTCTAAATTCTAATTCGCGAAACTTCGCGATTCTCGTGCGCTCAACTTTCATTTAGGAGTTTCTTTGCAAATTCGACAATTTAGGAATTTGGATCGTTGAAGATTAGTAAGTTGATTTGTTGATAAGTTTACAACGAGGACAATGAATTTATGGGAAGCACAGGAGCATGCTCGCGACACGTGTCAACCAGGTAGGTAACATTATTTCTGGAAAGGTGACTGCCACTCGTGGATAAAAGGATATCGCGTGTACGCGATAGGAGCGCATACAAAAGAGCTTAGATACGCGTGCACGGAATATTTCCTCGGTTTTCTTCGTAGGTGTGTACGTGCAAGATTGAATTGTCGCGCCTAGGTGAAATTCTTTTGGCGCGTGAACTTGAACCGCCTAAGCGATGCTTTTTAAAGATAAATTCGACTAATTCAGATAAACGTTACAGAATTTTTTAAATAGACGCGTAGAAGTTATTGTTATCCAATGGTTATTTAGAAAGGAAATACCCGGAGCATTGACTCACGATCAGAAAGCTGCGCGATCGCATCTCTCCGTAGTGATTCATTCCGTTTACATACAGACGTGATTCTTTCAATTTCTCTCGCTGCGATAACATTTATCAAACGACATTTCTGCTATGCGTCAACAAGTGCAATGAACCCTTCTCTCGTTATTAGAATAACTGTAATAACCCCCAAAACTATTAAATAATAAACCGGTATGGACCCTTAAAAGTTTGGAAATCGTTGGTCCAAAATTTATAAAACGAATAAGAATCTAAAGTTAAATTCGCACTAGCCAAAAGATTGAATCCTTCTGCCAATATTAATACGGATGTGCCATCTTTTTATTTGTCTGCTTGAAAATAACTGTAATAAACAGATTAGGGTAGAAAAGGTTAATCGCTGAGGATATGTTATGTAGGATGGTTAGCGAGTTCGATCAACGGCGCTTACCTTTTACTTGATCAGTCCTCCTCTCGATGTATCTTTCCCATACAACGGCAAGGATCGTCGAGATGCTGACACCAAGTAGCAGGAGAGCTGCATGGAAGCGTAGTATATATGGCCCATGAGGTCCCAGGGTTCAAGTCTCAACTCCCCCACTACGAACGCTACTTGGCGAAAGTACTCTCCGATCTTACTGTAATGTTTAACTGCGGGCCCGCCTATATCACCTGGTGAACTGCAGAAGGACATGCATTTACCGTGCACAGGATCACGATGCACTCTGCTCGACTGATAAGCCAAACAAGAAGAGCACCACCTATAATCTGCGGTTTAACTTTAATTGCCACGATCTGAAATCTTATCTTATTTTATTTCTAACGAATCTAATGTATTATTTAGGTACTTAACCCTTTTGAAAGCACATTCGTAGGATAGTATGAGAAGTATTAAAAATAAATCAGCGAGTCGCTTCGCTGCCATTGGATAACCAGTAATACACAGTTTATATCCTCAATTTTTAAGCTGTAATACCGCACTTAAATTTTACTGAATCTAATAAGTTTATGAAGGTAAATGCCTCTAACAGTACCTACTGAATTGTTCGACCGTCGCGATTATAGCAATTTCTATGAGCAATAAAGAAGAGGAAATATAAATCAATAATAAAGAGACTGCACCCAGGTCAGTTAATTAAGGTCGAGCAAATACTAAAACACAGGAATATTTTTCTTCAAATGGAACACTTGAAAACATTTTACCGAGTTACGGGCCATAAATTGCATCTGTATTTAACATTTCTCGTTATAAAAAAGACAACCTCAATGTTGTTATTAAATATAATAATATGATCGGGCGAAAATACTCGTGTCACGAAAACGCATGGCGAAATAACATAAACGTCATTCACCTAGTCTTGTCAATGGTCTCGTCACTAGACTTATAGCAGGTACTATTTATCGCGGTTAAAAAGTAGGTACGTAACTCTTTAACGTATTACGAGACCCAGAAAAACTGGTGATTGGCAAGATCAATGGTGAACGTGCAATGACGTACACTCGTTTACATAATAAGTGTCCAAGATAAAAAATGGGCGGTGAATGACGGCCGTCTCTTTCGAAGCTATTAAAATCTGGAGTAGCTCACACGTAAATTTTGTTGTGCGTAGAATTTCCAAATTCTTTTTTTTCTAAGTACCTATATTTCAAACGTGAAATTATTTGATGTCTCCAAACTTTAAAATTTAAATATGTCTCTTCGCACTTGATAAAGAATATATTCTAACTCGCTGTGCACACGACCCGAACGATCATGAAGAATATATAAATCTGACGCAATAGGAACCTCGAAAATTCGCAGATCTGTCACAAAATTTTCGAGCTGTCCGTACGGTAAACGAGTGTAACTCGCGTTTTGCGAAACACCGTTCTCTAGTTTACATGCTCGTGCAATTTGTACAGGTAGGTTACGTGCGAATAGAAATTTGAAATTTACGCAAGCTACGTTTGGCTTCGATAAAATCTGTTCTGCCAAATTAAATACTTGACGTTGGCGTAGATGTCTGACAGCGAGCGTTTTTATTCAAGACTCTATGAAATAAATCTAAATGATAGAAGGAAAAGAAAACAGACTACGTATATCTTTTAAAACTTATATGACTAAATGTGTCATGGTAACTATACAGTTAGTTCAAATGGATCGTATGTTCGGTAAGATTATTCTACATCGAAATTGATTTAATACGATTTTGATTACACCTTGAACTCGCACGCGGCATAAACGCCAGGTATATTCGGACAATTTACTGTGTCTGACCATTCAAATCGCTGCCATTGTCCAGTTACCCTTTCTGCACGAACGTTAAAAGCCTTTATAATCGTCCGTAACGGTACAGCGGCTTAGAATCGCACAATATAGCATGAAAATTTCCATTACCCAAGCAATTTACATAGAAGTAAAATATTGTCGCCGTACCGTTATAGAATTATCGAAGGCTTTCAAGATCCTTTCTCCCATCGCTATTATTCGAATAACAATATTATCCTTAGACCGAAAAACTTCGATAATTCTCTTTACAATAATTTCTACGAAAAACTGTCCTAATCGTTAACAGAATATCGATGCTAGAGATCGTCATATGGACTCGATGGGAATGTAACACATCCTTCTGAGCAGCAGTATCGGGAAATTCGGTAGAAACACGATGAAAAGCAGCACCAGAGGAGACAGCAGCAGCAAAATATTGGCGTACATCACCAACCACCATACCGACGATATTCCCGCGATTGGATCCAACATCGCGAATTCCGCTGGCCGAAGAAATCAGGCATGCAGGAACCTCGATGAACTCGTGACTCGTTGAAACAGCTCGATCTTACGAAGATGATCCGTGTTCGAGATCATGATCCATCAAAGATTAAGCGAGTTATCCTGCAAAGAAAAAGAATTTATGAACTACGGAATTGATAAATTATTCTTTACTGTTTCTGTTGTATCTACATCGTATTCTAAATAAGTGGCAGAGACACCTGTGTACCATAAAAACGGTATAAAATACCTCTAAAAACTAGACAACTTGTTCCACCCTAAATTAAAATCCTGTCTACGAATGATGACAACATTCTAATTTTCCTTCGGAGCTAAGCAACGTCTCTTTCAAGGATACGCTTGTTCGTTGCATCACGACGACGAGTATAGCGGGAAAGGTGAGCCAGTCTTCCGTACAATATACGGAATAATGATCGCTAGATTGCGCAGCAAACCGCGGCGGATCGGTACGCGGACAAATCGAGCTCATTTTCCGCGAGGAACCACGGTTTTCTAGCTCGTCACGGAGAAATGGAGTAATACGATACATGAGCTACTTACTGACCGTTGCGCAATCGTGCCACCGGTTTGTTTGTAATAATTGTGCAATCGAGCATTGTGCTCTCTGCCACGAATTTCATTCGCGACGTTAACATGTTGGCTACATGTACAGTAGAAGCTTTCTTTATCTAGGATATTTTAACAGAACGGTGGCCAAACTTACTTAACACATTGCGGTAGGAAATCGCGATCTTGTTTCAACACCTCGAAAGTATAATACGTACTTAACCATGCACTTCGTTTCGCGTTCCTTCAATCGGGTTAACACATCGATTTCTCGGCTTAGGCGAATTCTTAGTTCCGCGTTATTTTAAGTTAATTGCTGCGTAGAAACTTGTTATTTTGACGCAGGAAATTCTTGGGGGAAATGGTGGTTCTAACGTGTCACATGCCAACGATCATAGCGCGGTAACCTAGTGACATCTTCCAAGATTCTATGTCCGAACATCAAATAATTTTAGTAACGTATATCGGCTAATAAGTGTTATCGAAACTCGAGCAAAGGAATCCTTCGTTCCCCTAAAAGCACGTTCGATTGGTTCGTCCTTGTACGGCTACGTGCGTTCTTGTGACAGAGCGACCGGTTAGGCAAGCTACCGGTGCCGCGCGAAAAAAGGAAAAAGTATCGAAAAGAGACAGGTAACGAAAGTATAAGAACGACGGACGCATTATTCAGTAAAAATCGGCTACGATATCTAGAGGTGAAGCGTGCATGCTGTGCACATTTGTAAGTAGGCATACTATACTGACACGGTCGTTCGTCGCGCGAGCGCGCTCACATCAGCTACGATCGTACCGTGGAAAGTGAAATTTCCACGATTGCATAATGCTCGCATAATACTATTATTCGACGTGAGCTACGTTCTATGGCGTAGCGTACCATTAATGAAACAGTGCCCTATGATCCGCAGACTTCAAGGATTCTTATTCCCGTTTTCGAAAGAGTAAACAACGGCTGCTCTTTATGGTCCCGCACGGACATTTGCGTAAGTATTTCGCCGAGTTTACTGGTGTAGAGAATGGTGGACGCGTCAAAAGGTTTCGACCAAAACGATCGAAGGCCGCCAAAGCGTTCAAGGTCTGGGGTCCACGCAATAGCGATTAATGTTACGATATCTCTCGTGATTTGTCCGATGATCGAAAATTTACACAAATTTTTATGGATTTCTTTAGTGTGAATCGTTATGTTTGTCTAAGGAACGTGCCGAAATGATTTTGATGCACGGCCGTTCCCACGGTCTGCGGGACCAAAATCGACATTTTTATTTTTTACACTGTTGGATGCTACGTTAGAACTGTAACAATTAACGAGTCCTTCGAACAAAATGCGAATCTAAAAAATTGAAAGTTTAATCTCGATACGAAGCGATACTGCACCGTGCATCGTAATTGATAAGAACAAAAAATGCGATTATCAATTCGGACCACGTGTTTCTAGGTCAAAGAAAAAGAATGGATACGACTGGTGAAGGACTGCTAGATTTTCGATCCCTTCTCCGATACCGTACGTCCTTGCTCCGTAAAAAATCCGTGGGGTCACGAGCGTTCAAACGCGGGCAACTTGAAGAACGTCGCTGAGAAACTTAATTCCCTTCATAAAGCGTTCTCGAACAAACAATTTGAACCCCTTACAATTCATTTCATTAACAAACCAATTGACTACCAAACAATACACCACAGAGTGTATACTCCGCAAAGAACCTTCGATCGCCAAGAAACCAAATACGCAGTGTTCTTAGGAATTAATTTGAATATCGGCAAAAATAGATCTCTTACCTTTAATCGATACGGCCCGTTGGGGAAAGACGTCTCCGGACAAAGGCAATTTCCAAGTCACACTCCGATCTCCCTTTGGCACACAAAGATTTACACGATTGCATAATGCTCGCATAATACTATTATTCGACGTGAGCTACGTTCTATGGCGTAGCGTACCATTAATGAAACAGTGCCCTATGATCCGCAGACTTCAAGGATTCTTATTCCCGTTTTCGAAAGAGTAAACAACGGCTGCTCTTTATGGTCCCGCACGGACATTTGCGTAAGTATTTCGCCGAGTTTACTGGTGTAGAGAATGGTGGACGCGTCAAAAGGTTTCGACCAAAACGATCGAAGGCCGCCAAAGCGTTCAAGGTCTGGGGTCCACGCAATAGCGATTAATGTTACGATATCTCTCGTGATTTGTCCGATGATCGAAAATTTACACAAATTTTTATGGATTTCTTTAGTGTGAATCGTTATGTTTGTCTAAGGAACGTGCCGAAATGATTTTGATGCACGGCCGTTCCCACGGTCTGCGGGACCAAAATCGACATTTTTATTTTTTACACTGTTGGATGCTACGTTAGAACTGTAACAATTAACGAGTCCTTCGAACAAAATGCGAATCTAAAAAATTGAAAGTTTAATCTCGATACGAAGCGATACTGCACCGTGCATCGTAATTGATAAGAACAAAAAATGCGATTATCAATTCGGACCACGTGTTTCTAGGTCAAAGAAAAAGAATGGATACGACTGGTGAAGGACTGCTAGATTTTCGATCCCTTCTCCGATACCGTACGTCCTTGCTCCGTAAAAAATCCGTGGGGTCACGAGCGTTCAAACGCGGGCAACTTGAAGAACGTCGCTGAGAAACTTAATTCCCTTCATAAAGCGTTCTCGAACAAACAATTTGAACCCCTTACAATTCATTTCATTAACAAACCAATTGACTACCAAACAATACACCACAGAGTGTATACTCCGCAAAGAACCTTCGATCGCCAAGAAACCAAATACGCAGTGTTCTTAGGAATTAATTTGAATATCGGCAAAAATAGATCTCTTACCTTTAATCGATACGGCCCGTTGGGGAAAGACGTCTCCGGACAAAGGCAATTTCCAAGTCACACTCCGATCTCCCTTTGGCACACAAAGATTTACCGGCTGTGATATTGGCTAGCCTGGTCGCTCGAAATGCGACGAATTTCGAGCGCGATTTTCGCGACTGCGAGACAGATAGGCGCCGAGGATCGCTTCTTCTCGCGTGCGTTCAATCGCTTTCTGCGGACTGAGAGCATGGCGGGCTCCATGCTTCGATGTCCCGGGTACTTTCCCTTTCTTTCGGCGCTATGAAACCGAGTTACAACGGTTGAGTCACCTGGTAACGCTTCGCCGACAGCGGATGCTCACGGTCCCCCAGCACATCGACGTCCGACCATCCACACCTGGTTCGTTTATGCGTGGTCATCGGTGTCATTGACGAGTTCCAGATTTGACCTCGTCCTTTCTGGCTTCGTAGATTTCGCGTACTCTTCAGTCTTCTATAGACATCAAACGATCATATCAGTTTTTCAGAGTTTGCAGTATTTGCAGAACACTGAAATCACTTCGTTTACTTATTTATTCAAAAAGAGACTCGATATTGTACCATCGAGGTAATCATAAATAATTAAAGATTAAAATCGCAGACCAAAGTGACTTTCAAATTTGTTTAAACTTAAAGTATTGAATTGCAAGTAACAAAGTAAGACTAAAAAGTAGATCTTTCTATGTATGATACTGGTAAATAAACAAGTTTACGACTCACCTAACAAAAGGAGTTCAGTGCTCTTAAACAAAGCAGTCTCTGAACTACGATAATTTTTAGTACTCGTTCCGCCAGCGCCATTGCTGAAGAATGAAATTTTGTTCCGCTGCAGAGTTTACCGTTTGAGCTAACTCTTTTGTATCGGCATATGGTCAATAGATACCTTATCATATGCTGCTATACTGCACAAGATGGATGCATTCATTGTTTACAATGAACAATACTGTTTAAGTTACTTACGTTGTAAGTCTGTTTAAGAACCTGCCTTCGTGGCAACAGTTGTTCGCCTCCGATTCGAACAACAAGACAATTAGTATGATATTGATAGAAAAAAATAACCAATGAAAAAAATTATTTAAAGTGAATCTTACGTGCTCTGTAACTATACGTGCAGGACATTTTATGAACACATTTGCTGTACAAAGTTATGTAATTCTGATTTATAAATAAACTGAAGTACAGAAAATAAAAAAAAGTGGAGGACAAAAAACTAAAACATCCTATGATCGAAATTAATTTGAAAAATATTTAGCAAAAATTCGATGAGATGTTAAATTTTGTTGTTCGAGACTATGCTTCGTTTAAAAAGTTTGGTGGCCCTAAAAAGGGCCGTTGAGTAACGAATGCATCGAATGAATTATGCCTTCTTGTCGGTCTTCTTAGGCAGCAGAACTGCTTGAATATTTGGCAGAACACCGCCTTGAGCGATGGTAACTCCGGACAAAAGCTTATTCAGCTCTTCGTCATTCCTGATTGCAAGTTGCAAATGTCGTGGAATGATTCTGGTCTTCTTATTATCCCGAGCTGCATTACCAGCCAACTCCAATACTTCAGCAGCCAAATATTCCATAACTGCCGCTAAATAAACGGGTGCTCCAGCACCAACTCGTTCTGCGTAGTTACCTTTGCGGAGCAGTCTATGAATACGACCAACGGGGAATTGTAAGCCTGCTCGGTTTGAGCGGGACTTTGCCTTCCCCTTTATTTTTCCTCCCTTTCCACGGCCAGACATCTTTGCTTAGTTTGTATAAAACGAAACTGCGATGAACTCTCTACCTACTCTAGGCGAGAAATGATGCTTTGGTCAGCCGGTGCATCGCTTTTATACACATCGGATATGGCGCGCGCTCCACCAATCAGGTTGCGAGTTGGAATTCCCACTCCCTGATTGGTGCGTTGCCGCTACTCGCTCGGTGCCCTGTATAGAGCACGCTATTACTAACACAGCCTGATCTCTTAACTCCACAGATATCACAAAGATTAGAAATTACATGATCAAAATTGACAAATGACAAGATGTACATGCGGGTAGAATAGCCGTTCATGAATCAATCCTGCTTAAACATAATTCCTGATCTCAAAAACCACAAATTCTCATACATATTAAAAAACAAACTCAGAACTAATTAGAACATTATTTTCTCTCTCCCTGGAAGTCAAATTAATATAAGTTTAACTAACTTAACATCATTTAACTTTAATACCAGGTATCAGACTTGGAACAGCACAAATTGCAATACGAAAGTAGACTCAAGACCTGTGATAAGAGAAACTACAATATTGCGTAAAGTAACACATTTTCTGGACTATGTAGTCTAGAAAAATTGCATGAAATATAGATATGTCTATCAAATCTACCATACAACATTAAATGTTACATGACAATTGATGTACAGATCTTATTATCAAGTACGGAGACTGCGCTAAGAAACTGCGACAAAGTGAACCTATACATCGGTATGTCACAAAATTGTAGATAGAAAAGGAAGAAGATATTGTGCCACAAGTTAGCAAGAATTGTACTAACACGCTATTAACATTCAACAGCAAAATTGTTCTCTGTTAGAACAATTTAAAAAGCAAAGTAACATTTATATAAGCTAGATGAAAATACTAGCACATCACTCAGCATTACAGATGCTCCACAATTTCTGAAACAGAAAGAAAGAAAATTTAATATATTTTTTATGTTATAGTAACTGTTAAACAAATATATACACTTACCAATCAGTATTATAATAGTTAGTGAAGTTAAAATTAGAGGTTATGTCGACTGTGAATGAGGTTAAAACGTCTTCACTTTCCTTTATTGATTGTCCGGATATTTGATCTTAATCTTTTCTGATATTCATATTATTCATTTTATTCGTTGCACATACTTTAGTAAACTTCATTTCTCTAGCGGATTTTTTAAGAATTATCTATTATCCATCGAATTAGAGTTCTTTAGACGAGTCTCTATACCCAAAGTTTGAATTTATAGTACAGTGTAAACGACGACAGGCGGAGCTGACGCCTTCTTGCATTTCTACTGCACTTTCTGTATTCGAGTTTCCAAAGTTGTTTTCCTATTTTATAGAAAAATCAAGATTCTAAATTTATTAGTAGACTGAACATATAATATTTAAAATACCACATACATAACTGTAGTACTGTTCGAAGCCAGTTTCGAAGAATGCAATAATATATATTCCGTCTACTAACAATTTTGTTTTATTGGCCACCTAAATTCACTGGTCCAAAAATATTTCCTAGAAATTTCCTCTTGTTCAAAACTAAAACTTACTTTCCTCTATCAATTTCCAACTTGAGTACTAAATAAAATTGTTCATATAAATGATTATGTACCTTCCTAAACATGTACAACTGTCTTACTTACAGTTATGAGTACATCAGTATAATATAGTAAGAATAAATAAATGCAAACCTAGTCACAAGAAAAGTAAAAATATTTTTCATGTTATTTTATTTCCTAAGTTTGTACTGTAGTTGCATTAAGATTCAACAATTGCTAGCAATTGAGGTTATGGAACATTCGAGGAAGTATTGCGTATCAATATTATGCTTCTATACAATCTTTTGAGAAAAACATATGCCTATAACCACATTTAAATGCAAATAAATGTAAATTATTATTCACTGTTGCTGCAATTAAGCTAAAAAGTTTTTGAAATCAATTGATAAAAGAACGAAGGTAAGAAGAGTTACTTATCATGTAAATATTAATTTGATATAACACCCTAACAGCAATAAATTATTTGTTAAATGCATCCCTGACCACTGCTGAACATTTTTACATTTTTCATTAGACCTTGCAACGCGTTGAATTACATATGAGATAATAATTCTTGTGGATACATACTTGGCTATAGAAAAATCCGAGCTAGTAGACTCTATAAAAAAACAAATGTAAGCTTCCAATAATCAAATTGATATTTGCTATTAACAGACAAATCCTCGATTCATTGGTATTTTTTCGTTCGTACCTTAATGGCTATATCATTGATAACGTTGTATCAAGTGATTCATGAGGAATGTATCCTTGAGCCTACGCATGTTTCAAAAACACTGCGTAGAAACAAATATTTTGCGTTGAACGACCTACCTTACAGTTTTGCTAGTAAATGAAACATCAATTTCCATAATACCGAATGTAAGAGCACAAGATTTTCAGTAACACAATTACTCGAATGTTTACTACGTGAAAATTACTAGAACTTTCCTGACATGAAGATCGAACATACTAGAAAATGGTGATCAAATGACTAACGACAAATGCAAGTTGTTAGAGTAGTAGTACTATTACTATATTCGATACTTTATATTTTGTAAAATTATGTACTAAATTTTATTAAAAAATTTGAAGTATTTGGATTGATAGGATTGAGGGTATAAAATTTTTGTTAAGTGCAAAATTGAGATCGTTTCCTTGTAAAAAAGTATTTTGTGGCCCTGATAAGGGCCATTTGGTATGTTTTCATCATTGAATTTACTTTTTCGCCGCTGCTCGTGCAACTTTTGGCGATTTTGCTGTTTTTGGTTTTGGCGTTCTCGTCTTCGCTGCTGGAGCTTTTGTGGCTTTCTTTGTTTTCGACAGATTCTTGGGTTGAGCTGCCTTCGGTTTCGGAGACTCTGCCGCCTTTTTGGCAGCAGCAGTTTTAACCTTCTTCGGGGAAGAAGGTTTCTTGGCAGCAGCGGCTGGTTTCTTAACGGCAGCAGCTTTCTTTGCAGCGGCCGGTTTCTTCGGACTCGCTGGTTTCTTCTCCGCAGGCTTCTTTTCAGCTGCGGCAGATTCAGTCTTCTTCACGGCACGTTTTACCTTCCTAGGGGATTCCGAGCCCTTCGAAGACGTGGAGAGTTTGAAGGAGCCAGAGGCGCCCTTTCCCTTGGTTTGCACTACAGCACCAGAAGTCACGGCGGTTTTCAAGTACCTCTTGATAAATGGCGCCAATTTTTCGCCATCGACCTTATACGTAGATGCTATGTACTTCTTGATGGCTTGAAGTGACGACCCTTTACGATCTTTCAACTCTTTGATGGCGGCATTCACCATCTCCGATGTCGGTGGATGGGACGCCTTCGAACGTTGAGCCTTTGCCTTTGATTTCGCAGACTTTTTTGCGGGCGACGAATTTGTCGCCGCATTTTCCACCGTCGCGGTACCTCCAGAAACGTTTTTATCCTCCATTGTGTACAAAATGTGCAGTAGAATACGGCAGATTTTTATGCTCTGCGGACCGAATGCGCTTTATTAAGTAGGAAAAGCGCGGACCTTGGAGAGAGACCTCTCCTATGTTTCCAATACCACGTTGCCGAGAATCCGAGACTCGCATGGAAATCTTTGCGATTTACGCGATTATTTGCACGATTTGAGGCACATATTATGCATGAAAATTTTCAATTATTGTCAGTAGTTTATAACGGTACCACTTAATGCCACTTTTACCCAGTTTTTCAGTCATTATAATCGTTCGAACTGACACAATCCCACGGTTGTTCTTATTTAGGAGTAGACTAATATTGAAAATTAAGGAAAAAATAAGAGAATATTTAATTCAAAACGGTTTTACTTGTTAAAATAGATGTCCTAATATTAGAACTACGTGTGTATATACGTCAGTGGTCAATGGAGCTTCGATATTATCATAAATTCCAAGAGTTTTACACGGAGAGAAATACAATCATCATGAAGACACGACGCAAATGGTTGACATGATACTCGTTTGTATAATATGATTAATTTGATTAATAATATTCAATCATGAACAAAAACTTAAACGAGAATATAAAAATTAATTTATTTAATGGTTTTTCGCGCGGGAATTTAAAATATTGTACATTTTAGCTGGAAATTTCTTAGGAACCGTCCTTTGGTGTTATAAAGTGATACTTCGCTTTCATAAATGTGTTTGTACACTATTGTAAATATTTTAATATAAATTTTATATCGCTTAACCATTAGACCTTTTAAGAAGCCTACTTATTAATAAAAGCATAGTATTTAACCTTATGATATAATATTAGTTCTATATTTTGAACGTACTGTAGCAGTGTTCACGTTCCTCAAAAATTGGAACGTGTAACAAAAATGGACTAAAACAAATTCTATAAAATTAATTATTGAAATAAATGAAAATGGAAAACGAAATATGTGGTGAACTAGTTATCTGTAGCAAAAAATAAAAATCAATGGTTTAGAATAGATGTCGAGACTATAGAGTATTATTGATGATTGATAATATTGTTTCGTCTGATGTAGATATTTGTAATCGTATTGCAGCCGAATAATAACAAGTAGGATTACAGATGCTGGTACATTTGTAGTATATTAAAATATGCAAAGTAGTATACTGATATTATGTATTGGTCATAAAAAATAGTAATGTAAAATGTAAAAACAGGCAAAAAGAGAATACACGGAATGAAGTGATATTGTTAGGTGGCATAAAAAAGAAATACTGTATAAATATGTATATTTGCATAAAAATTGATCTAACTATAAATAAACTATAAAATAAATTATTGCATACGTAATGCATCATAACAAAGATCTTAGTTAAGCTTGAATAAAAGTTTATTGGTTAGGATTTAGGAGGTATGGTAAAACACTTGGGTACATCACAATCATTTGTGAATAAAAACACAGAGTATTTGTTGTATAACAAATATGACAAATTCTTTGTTAAATTTGATTTATTTTCATCTTAAAATAGTTATATTCATATTCTCGTCCCAAAAATAACTTCGCTATAGATTTCTGAATAGCCAACAATGCATCGACGTTTTCTAACCTTAAAAGTGACAATTTTCTTATTCTCACATGCGCTGATGTTTTTAATGCAACTTATGTGCATGTGTGTAAAGTAAAACTTGCTAGTATTATAGATAGAACTAAAAATAGTTATTCTACTTCTACCAGGTCAGTCATCTCGTGAAAATTAACACCATTGAAGTGGAAAACAAAAATATTTTCGAAAAATATGCAGTTATATATAATTTGTTATTTTCTAACATTCTATTTATTTTTTCATAGGCAATTACTCTAACTAGTTAATTGTTTATTAACAATAAGGGTTGAAAATATAAATTTATAAAAAATAAATTTTAACAAAATTTGATTTTATAAATATTATGACTATGAATATGAAGGAAGGAGAAAATAAGCAAGTTGAAAACGATGAGTTCCTTGTTTGAATTTTTTGGTGGCCCTGAAAAGGGCCGTTGAATTGTAGGTGTTGATAGCTTAACCACCAAAACCGTACAGGGTTCTACCTTGCCGTTTCAAGGCATAGACGACATCCATAGCCGTAACGGTCTTTCTTTTCGCATGCTCAGTATAGGTGACAGCGTCACGAATAACATTCTCAAGGAAAACTTTGAGAACGCCACGTGTCTCTTCGTAAATCAAACCAGAAATACGTTTGACACCGCCACGTCGTGCAAGACGACGAATGGCAGGTTTCGTGATACCTTGGATGTTATCACGAAGTACCTTCCTATGACGCTTTGCGCCTCCTTTTCCCAAACCTTTACCTCCCTTTCCTCGACCGCTCATTTTGATTAATAAACGTTGTTCTGTAAGATCAACAGAAAAATGTGATTTGCTACCAAAGTCGTACTATTATATAGCAACCCTGGCTATCGGCTCCCCTCTATGGCGTCGCGGCGGAAGCGTCAGCCAATCAGCGAGCGCCGCTCCGGTTTCCCCCACCGCGCGCATCCGACCAATCGGAGCGCAGAGAGAATGCCCGACGCAAGCATATATTGAGAGCCACAACCGCAGTTGCATCACATTTGTTTCGGAGTTACAACGAAGCATTCACCTCTTGTCAGAAAATGGCTCGCACCAAGCAAACCGCTCGCAAATCCACTGGTGGAAAAGCTCCACGCAAACAGCTGGCAACGAAGGCTGCACGTAAAAGTGCACCAGCAACCGGAGGAGTTAAGAAGCCTCATCGCTACAGGCCTGGAACTGTGGCCCTCAGAGAAATTCGAAGATACCAGAAGAGTACGGAACTGCTCATCCGTAAATTGCCTTTCCAACGTCTGGTTCGTGAAATCGCTCAAGACTTCAAGACCGATCTTCGCTTCCAAAGCTCTGCTGTTATGGCATTGCAGGAAGCCAGCGAAGCTTACCTCGTTGGACTTTTTGAGGACACCAACTTGTGCGCCATCCACGCCAAGCGTGTCACTATCATGCCAAAGGACATTCAACTTGCCCGTCGTATTCGTGGAGAAAGAGCTTAAATTAGAAGGTCCGCCTTCTACTCATATCGGCCCTTTTCAGGGCCCAAAATTTTCAAACGAAGAACTGTCTTTGATCGCTTTGCCATTAGACCACTAAACCTTTCCTTTCCAATATGAGAAAACACATGCAGTATATTTAAGAATTTTGAGACATAGTATATAATGCATTCAAGAGTTGAGTCGAACGTCTTGTAGAAAGTATCGATACAAAAAGAAAGTAGCATAAAAAGGGTTATCCTCTTTAGTTACACAAAAATCTCCTGAATGATCGTTCTTACATTTTTACATGCACTTTATTTCCTTTTTTACAAAGCATACATAGTCATCGTTAAATATAAAATTTCAAATCATTTTCTAATTGAGTATGACTCATTTTCTGATTCATACTAGCTTAGAAATTGATAAGATTGGAGCGAAAGAAATCTGTACTTTTAGATATAAAAAGACCAGAACGCAAACATTCCCACCAAGAACCGGTATATTCTGGTAGAATGCATAAAAGGGAAACCCATCAGCAAAGAGGAAAACTTACTATACGCTCTGTTGAGTTCCGAACATCACTCAGTTTCTTTTCGTACTATAATCAAGTTCCTACGCTCTACTGTTTACAAATACGTTTATAAAAACCGACATAGACGTAAATAACACGATCATCTTTTTACTTCAAACATTGTTTTTATTTCGGACAGTTACAAGATCAGTGTAAAAGATAGTACAATTTCTTCAGGAACGACCTGTTAAAAGTTAGGTTAAGAAATGACTTTATTGTTTTATACAGCTATATTTTGCGTCTTAAATCGAGGAATTACGCAGATGCACTCATTTATTATTGAATTTAAAAAATTCAAGACGTGTATAAGTATGCAATCATCTTAAAAAAAATTCCTTTCCATGACAGATGCAAAAAGAATTAAATATTTCGTAAATTGCGTATAGTAATTCAAGTTGTTCAAACGAAAGGATGTTAGATATTGATTGGCTAAACAGATTCAGAAAAGAGGGTTCGACAGAATTTCTAGAACGAATGTTGCGCAGCCGCTATGCGAGTGAAGTTAGGATGAGTTCCCCGAACGACCGAAGGCTGTCCCTTTGTTCGTAGCAGCAGAACCGTTTACCTTTGTCTAAGAAAAATTCCGAACATATACGCAACATCCTGTCCAGCCGTTGTTAAGCCTTTGTGTTGGCTAAAGCAGTCTGCCAGCAATAATATACTTCTAAACGTATTCCAATAACATTACATACGGTATATTAAAAGAAATAATTTTAATTTATTAAAAGATTTTAATACAAACTATAGCTGGTTATTCATATTTTCATTGTATGTAAACTCGCAGTCTGAATTCGAAAAATAATGCATAGCCACATACATCAATGTGATTAAAAACATGGAACTATCTTGACATGTTATCAACTATAACATTTCCGATATCGTACTTTTATTATCGCAAAGCTAACTTTTTTATATTAGTCACACGATAAAGATATTACAAGATATGCAAAACTGAAAAAAATATTTAGAATAGAAAATTTGAGAAATTGACTGAGTGTTCATTCGTGGAAAAAATTTGGTGGCCCTGAAAAGGGCCGTTTTTGTTGAATTGCGTAGTGATGGGCTTCTTAACCGCCGAAACCGTAGAGAGTTCTGCCTTGGCGTTTCAGAGCGTAGACGACATCCATGGCCGTAACCGTCTTCCTTTTAGCGTGCTCGGTGTAAGTCACAGCATCTCGGATAACGTTTTCCAAGAATACTTTCAAGACACCTCGCGTTTCTTCGTAGATCAAGCCAGAAATTCGCTTGACTCCACCACGACGAGCCAGACGACGGATGGCGGGTTTCGTGATACCTTGGATGTTATCACGAAGTACCTTCCTGTGACGCTTAGCTCCTCCCTTTCCCAATCCTTTTCCTCCCTTACCGCGACCAGTCATATTGTATTTTTCTCACAAACGATCAGAACACAACGAACAGACGTTTGAAATTGTGATGCAAGCAGGTCAGCGGGCCTCTTATATACCATGCCCGCTGCACTTCCCCCACTGCCACGCCGCTAGCCAATCGGATGAGTGCTGCGCAGACCGCATGCTATAAAAAGAGGGGATCAACCTTCTTGAAGCGCATTTTTCATCCTGTTCTCAGACTGATCGTTACTTTGTGAGAGCTCCTTTCGCATTCATACTTGTCAGCAATGGCTCGTACTAAGCAAACTGCTCGCAAATCTACCGGTGGAAAAGCTCCACGAAAACAACTGGCTACTAAGGCAGCTCGTAAGAGTGCGCCTGCAACCGGAGGAGTTAAGAAACCTCATCGTTACAGGCCAGGAACTGTTGCTCTTCGTGAAATCCGTAGATATCAGAAGAGCACGGAACTTCTGATCCGTAAATTGCCGTTCCAACGTCTGGTTCGTGAAATCGCTCAGGACTTCAAGACCGATCTTCGCTTCCAAAGCTCTGCTGTAATGGCTTTGCAAGAAGCTAGCGAAGCTTACCTTGTCGGACTTTTCGAAGACACCAACTTATGCGCAATTCACGCCAAGCGTGTAACCATCATGCCTAAGGACATCCAATTGGCTCGTCGTATTCGTGGAGAACGAGCTTAAACAGCTTTTCTACATGTACAAATCGGCCCTTTTCAGGGCCAAAATTAATTTCTAATGAAGGTTCTCAAGTTTTCAACTATGACATCACCTCCCTTTTATGCTAACTTTTTACAGTATACTTACTACAGTCTTTACAGAAATTATAATGCTTCTAGGACAACATGATGCTAGTTTTTTTCTATCTAGGATGCATTTAAAATATTCTAGCAAGTTACTAGTACAAGTAAAAAGAGCATGGATTGCCGGAACTGTTCTCTTTTAATTAGTTACGTAGTCTAGATACAACTTCTCTTCCGTTAACTGCGTAAACCTTAACTTAAAATTAACTTATAGGTGTAGAATCATTAAATTTTTGTGGCTACTTTAAAAACACCAATATATTTCATATGAGAAAAATTGCAGAAGTGTTACAGTACGCTTAGCATGTAACATTGATAAAAATATCTAGATTAAACGTTCAATGAAAATCGTACATTCCGTTTTATTCGGCGTCGTGTGGGGTTTTTTTCCCATAGTGAAAAGAACATCTGCACGAACCATATGGGCCAGGTGTTCGGGAATGTGCGGGCCTCATGAATGCAGCATATTTGATTGTACGTCCCCTGAATGTCCAGCTACTCTAGTCATTTTCATATTTTATTATTTATGTCCGTGAAAATCTATCTATTTTCTATTACGCTTTAACTCTTGCACAAAATATAATGCAGTTGCGAGAAATTAATAAATCATGATTTCAGGTACCAAGAACTTCAATATTCCATTAAAAGTTTCACCTTTTTTACAGTTTGTTGTTGATTGAAATGGGATGTACAGTTATAAGTTTAGGTAAAAACGTTATAAAATATTGCCACTATCAAATTGTTAACATATTTGATGCTAAACGGAAGTATAAAAATTTATGCAAGTAATATCTATCCATGAACTACATTCATATTAAATCGTGCATCTTTTATCCATGAGTTCAAGTAATATTCATATATGAATATTTCTAATGACGTTAATTAAGAATCACAAGTAGTACTATTGTAAGTTCTACAAAATTTGCAACAAAATTGATAAAATATTAATGCATTATTTCCTAATATGTTGAAGTTAAAAATTTTCAAACATTCTAAATGCTAAAGCCTCCCATCCTGAACACCCAATTTGAAGTTGCATTGAACAACTAGATATTCCATTCGTTTTAAAATATTTTGTGGCCCTGAAAAGGGCCATTTGTATTGATGAATGTTTATGTAGTTATGTCTTCTTGTCTGTCTTCTTGGGCAAGAGAACGGCCTGAATATTCGGCAGTACTCCACCCTGGGCAATGGTAACACCAGAAAGCAGTTTATTCAACTCTTCGTCATTACGGATGGCGAGTTGAAGATGACGAGGAATGATTCTGGTCTTCTTGTTGTCACGAGCTGCATTACCAGCCAACTCGAGAACTTCAGCGGCTAGGTATTCCATAACAGCAGCCAAATATACTGGTGCTCCTGCACCAACGCGTTCGGCGTAATTTCCCTTCCGAAGAAGACGATGGATACGACCAACGGGGAATTGAAGTCCAGCTCGGTTAGAGCGAGACTTCGCCTTTCCCTTAGCCTTACCACCTTTACCGCGTCCAGACATGATTTTTTATTTTAATGAAGATCTTTGAAAGCGACGATCGATGCGAATCTGAAGCGATTCCAAAGTGAAGTGCCTTTCGGGTCTCGAGGCTTAGCTTATATGCCGACCGCTGCAGCTTGCGCCGACCAATCAGAGTGCAGCTGGCGCGCGATTGGTGCGCCGCCGCTAGACCGTTACGATATATATACGGCGCCTCCACTCCGGTCAGACATTCAGTCTTGAATTCTCACTCCAGTACAGTGTATTTCAAGTCTACGTAAGCATTTCAAAGATGCCGCCTAAAGCAAGTGGAAAAGCTGTGAAGAAAGCTGGCAAAGCCCAGAAGAATATCAGCAAGACTGATAAGAAGAAGAAGAGGAGGAGGAAGGAAAGCTATGCAATCTACATCTACAAGGTGTTGAAGCAAGTCCATCCTGACACTAATTTAATAAAACAAAAAATATACATTTCATTCATGAAAACATATATATACAGTTTTTACAAAGCGTTAAAAGCCATAAATTTGTTCATCCTTAAATAACCAGTTTTCCTAAAAATATATAGGTCTTGAACATTCATAAATTACAATCCTTACAATACAAAATTTTATTGTATTAAATTTTACTACGTTCATCCTACCCAAGTGAAAATATTAAATCGTTTACATTTGTCAATTTAAAGAACAAATTACTTTAGACAAGGTCTAACATATACACACTACTGTCATTTAGATGTAAGAATGTAAGAGTAGTTAATACGATTGAAAGTTAAAAATAGGCGGTTCAAAGTATTAAAATTAGACAGATTAGTTAAGAAAAACGATTTCAAATATATAAAGTGAATGTTATTCATACTAATGACAGTGGATTTCAATCTGAGGATAAAGAATATCCATGGTTTATATCGAGTATCGCGACGCGGTGAAATGTTTATCGTGTTTTTTCCGTGTTCGTTGCTATTACAGTACAAACAATGTAACGTAAATATGCAGCAAGTCTTCCTGAACAATTTTCTATACGAGTACTATGTAAATTTTTCAGTAAATGTTCGGATTTTTAACTTTTTGTACATGACACACCGCTGCGTCGAAAATATGAGGTTCGCTGTTCGGCTGTATATTTCTGTTTACGAGAGGGAGTTGTCCAATATGAAGTATGTGATAAAAACTACAAACACGCAGCTACATTTTCACGTGCCATTCACCTGCGAACATTCATTCAAAGCTAAAAAACAAAGCTCGAATGTTAAGGTTTATTTACCACTTCTTCAGTGTCATAGAATCGTGGCGTCCGACATATCAGGTAGGTCTCTCTCCGTGGTCCGCGCTTAGAACGTAAGACCGCGGTATACCGCGTCGGTCTTCTTAGTAGAAAATTTCCATAAGCTTATCGTTGTTCATTGAGTTGGTTCGGAACTTGTTTTTTGTGAGTTTTACACCATAATCAACCGTAAACGAGGAAACATGGAGAGCAAGGCTAATTCTAGCACTGCTGCGATCGAAACCGCTGAAAACCTAACCGTGCCAGCGAAAAAGGCAGGTAAAGCTAAGGCAAAATCGCAACATACGAAAGCGACGCATCCGCCAACTTCCGAGATGGTCCATGCCGCTATCAGAGAGCTGAAAGATCGCAAAGGATCATCCGTGCAAGCTATCAAGAAGTACATCACTACGACGTACGAGGTGGACGGAGAGAAATTTGCTCCGTTCATTAAACGATACTTGAAATCCGCCGTGACATCTGGAGCTGTAGTCCAGACTAAGGGTAAAGGGGCATCCGGTTCTTTCAAACTTTCTATGGGAAGAACTGACAGATCGAAATTGAAGAAGGGGTTGCGATCGTTGAAGAAACTTGAATCGCAGAATGTGCCTTCGGTCGAGAAGAAGACCGTGGCCAAGAAAACTGTAAGCAAGAAGGTGGCAGCTTCACCTAAGAAAGCTGTTGCAGAAAAGAAGGCAGCACCAGTCAAGAAAGCTGCAGCAAAAACCACTGCTGCAAAATCTAAGGCTGACGTTAAGACTGTGTCCAAGTCTAAGAAGACCACGAAAGCTCCTGCTGCGAAAACCAGAATTCCCAAACCCAAGAAGGCTGCGGCTAAATCAGCCAAAAAATAATTCCCTTTCCCAATGATGGCATTTGATCTTCATAAAAAACGGTCCTTTTCAGGACCATCAAATATTTAATACGAGGAACTACTTTCGTTCTACACTTAGAACAATTCTTTTAATAAATTACAGCATTACTCCTACTGAAATAATTATATGCGTATATACCATGCAACCATTATGGTTTGTTTTCAAATATATGAAACCACAGAAATATTTTTAGGTACATCATCGGATATACGCATATTGATGAACTAATGAAATAAATATAAAATTATCCTGTTATGTTCCTATATTCCTCCTCCTCATATATTTAATGAATTTTAACCTCTTAGAAGATTTGAAACGATTCACTGAAGCAAGCTTTCAATTTAAGGTTAGGTTCGAACTGTCAGCGGGAAAACTTGTTTATACACTCCGTCCGAATGCATATCACGAATAGTTTCGAAAATATTAGCGCTATTTTTAGATGAGCTTTAAAGAAATGTAGTTTCGAAGATTTTTAGAGAAAATAGTAGTAGGTGAATAGAAGGCACGCATAGAATACTGATTTGATAACGGGTTCGTACCGTTCATGCGTCAACAACATATTTCCTTATTTTCAAATATCTTTTAAACGTTTAAAATATATTCTAAGAGAAAAATTATATTTGTAAGAAGTTAACAATAGGACAACGTAATGAACAATAATGTGCCTTGCAAAATCTATGCCTGGGAAACAAATTTCATTTGCGTCTTGTGTTCGAGGCCCGTAACTAAAATGGCGCATCTTTTCTCTGAACTTCGTAGTCTGCAATGCATTTACCAAAGAAGGTTTATAAAAAATATCTCCTGACTTAAACGTCATATTTTCCGTTCGTATGCTATAAAAAAACTACTATGAATGCTAATTAAATAATTCACAATTATTTTTAATGTGCATACGTATTTACAATTGCTAGGTTAGCGACACAAAATACTGGGAGGTAGAACTGAATAGAGTACAAATTGAAACTACTGTACGAAAACACAGGAGAGTTCCAAAAATATAGATATACGAATATAAGTTTTAAGTAAATAAATGGACACTAAATATCTATTAACAATGAGTTTATTATTTGAAGAATACATCATTATACACGTTTTTCAATCATTTCATTAGCATTTAACGTACGCAAACAATTTTGTATGATTCACTGTAGCAGTACTTTAATTATTTATTAAAAATATGATATGTAACGACGTGTGAACTGTATTTGCAAAACTATCTTCTATTTTCACTACCGCATCATAAATATATGCATCCATGTATTGTTGAACATTTGATTCTTGAAGCTGGTATGATCGTTGAATGCAACTCCACTATGGTGAGAATGCCGGCATATGGTCAAACCATGAGGTCGCTCCTGATTGGTGCGCTGCTAGCTACCGCCGGCCATTATATAAGGAGGGGCTGCAGACCGTCAGCTCACATTCACTCTGCAACCATCGACCTGATCGTAGTAGCAGTGTTCTATCCAAGCGATACAATTTCATCATGCCGCCCAAAGCAAGTGGAAAAGCTGTGAAGAAAGCTGGCAAAGCCCAGAAGAATATCAGCAAGACCGATAAGAAGAAGAAGAGGAGGAGGAAGGAAAGCTATGCAATCTACATCTACAAAGTGCTGAAGCAAGTCCATCCTGACACCGGAATCTCCAGCAAAGCCATGAGCATCATGAACAGTTTTGTAAATGATGTTTTTGAGCGTATTGCTGCTGAAGCTTCACGTTTGGCACATTACAACAAGAGATCGACCATTACATCCCGGGAGATCCAGACTGCTGTGAGACTTCTGTTGCCTGGAGAATTGGCGAAACACGCTGTGTCTGAAGGCACTAAAGCTGTTACCAAATACACCAGCTCCAAGTAGACGGTGTTCTTACGATCGGCCCTTTTTAGGGCCAACAATTTTCTCAATACGAAAAACATTTTGGTTTTCAACTTCTAACATAAAAAAGAATTAAATTTCCAATCCACAATTTATTTCATAAACTGTTGCGCAAAAAATAACCTCATTTTATTTTTTTACCTAAGATTTGAAAAATGTAATTTAATACTTTTGAATTATACATGGTGTACCCTTTTTCACTTCGATATTCCATATAGTAGAGCTTTCAAAACATTTACGTTAAAGTCTAGTTTCGAAAATGTTAATTTGTCAACTCTTAATGCTTGTAAAGGACTGTAACGCATTTAATATTTTATTTTTGAAAAGTAGACATAATTCGCACAAATACAAATCATGTTTTAAGAAATATAGTCCGTTTTAAAATTTAAGGAACTATAGTATTTATCCTCTATTAATATTTCTAACCAATCAAATTTTCATAGTTCTTACTATGTAGAATCTATTCCAAAGCTTATGATTCCGAAGACACCCTATATTCAGTATCGCCTATAGTCAAAATGTGGAAGCTTCATCAAAAATAGGACAAGAATATGAGTCAATTATTTAAATAATCCATTTATGCTAACAATATTAAATTATATTCATAATCATTCTGCTTATTTGTATAAAATGTTTCAATTACGAATTAAAATTTCGATAAAAGTCGATTTAAATCGATAGTACTATTATCGATTATCCTCCATCATTGGTGTTCTAGTCGGAGGAAGCGTCTAACGCTTGACAGTTGGTTATTGAAAATGTTTGTTTATAATGTGAAATGTTTTTATGAATGACACTAACTAAATATTTTGTAAAAATAACTAAATTTTGTTTCGTATATTATTTTGTACGCATCTCATAAATAGTCTGTGCGTAAAGTAATAACTGTAGATAATTTCTCCTCTTTTATAGGTTAAGATCACGTTTCTAACCTTACTGTTCATATACTAAACGAATTATATAGTTTTATTTTCCGTTTATTTTATTATAAATAATTCTTCACAATGTCAGATGACGAGGATTTGGTTTATGTAAAAAAGCAGAAAACTGTTCATTATGGATCACTCGAAGAAGCAGAACGCGCAAGATTGGCGGCAGCAGCAGAATCGTCAGAAGAAGAGAAAGATTCTACAAATTTGGGAGACAGCATCAATGCTACCATTACTTTGGCAAATATACATATATCTAATGAATATATGGAACTTGAAGATGAAATGTCTAAAAATAGACAAGCGTTGTTGGAAGAGTTTGAACGTAAAAAGAAAGCACGTCAAATTAATGTTTCTACAGATGATTCTGAAGTGAAAAAGAATTTAAGACAATTGGGTGAACCTATCTGCTTGTTTGGAGAGGGACCTGCTGACAGAAGAACAAGATTAAGAGAGTTACTGGCTAACTTAGGTGAAGATGCGATTAAGAAAAAGCACGAAGAAGATGAAAAACCTTTGCATGCAACTGAACGAGATACCGAAACAACATGGTATCATGAGGGCCCAGAATCTCTTCAAATAGCTCGTTCATGGATTGCTGGTAAGTGTGAAACACATTTATTTTTAACTTTTATATTTTATTAATAATTTCTGTATTAAATTTTTAATTAATTCACTTTTCAGCATATTCATTACCTAGAGCAAAAGCTAGATTGGATAAAGCAAGACAAGATTTGGAATTACCAACAGCTACTCGTACAGCACGTCGTCAAGAGCTTCTGAAGAAATTACAAGCCCTCACAATTTACTGTTCTCAGATTGGTGATACCAGGCCAATTTCGTTCTGTCAATTTAGTCCAAATTCTAAAATGCTGGCAACAGCTTCTTGGTCTGGCTTATGCAAATTATGGTCTGTACCTGACTGTACTCTGTTAAGAACACTTAAAGGTCATACTTGTAATGTTGGCTGCATTGTTTTTCATCCAAAAGCTACTATTACTGAAGAGGTGGTAGGGAATAAAGCAGGACAGACTTGTGTATTGGCATCCTGTGCTTCTGACGGTACATGGACAGTTTCTTTATATTATACCAGAAGATTTCAATAATATCAAAATAATACATTTATCTATATGTACAGGTTCAGTAAAATTATGGAGTGGTGGATCAGGTGAAGAGCCTTTAGCCGAAGTCGAAGGTCATGAACCACACAGAGTATCTAGATTAGCATTCCATCCTTCTGGTAGATTTCTTGGAACATGCTGTTACGATGCTTCTTGGAGGCTTTGGGATTTGGAGCAGCAGGCAGAAGTTTTGCACCAAGAGGGCCATGCTAGGGCTGTGCATTGTATCAGGTAGGTACATCACTGAATATTACGTTCTCGAAATAAAGTAAACTTCTTAAATTAACGCATATTTATAGTTTTCAGTGTGACGGTAGCGTAAGCGCTACCGGTGGACACGATTCTTTCGGTAGAGTGTGGGATCTTCGAACTGGAAGATGCATTATGTTTATGGAGGGTCATTTAAAGTCTATTTTTGGTATCGATTTCTCTCCTAATGGGTTTCACATAGCGACTGCAAGCGAAGATAACACTTGTAAAATATGGGATTTACGAAAGAGATCTTGCGTGTACACGATACCCGCGCATACGAATTTATTATCGGACGTGAAATATCAGAGGATAGAAGGACAATATTTGGTCACAGCGTCGTACGACAACACTGCCAAGATATGGTCGAATAAGACCTGGCAACCTCTGAAGACTTTGCCGGGCCATGACGGTAAAGTGATGTCTGTTGATATTTCACCCGATCACAGATTTATCGGGACTACCTCGTACGATAGAACATTTAAGTTATGGGCGCCGGAAAATGCATAAAAAGACTTCTATAAAAAGAAAGTGTAATCGAAGTGAGATATCTTTACAGAAATCTGTTTGACAATTCTATTTCTGATGCTGTACACGCGGAAAAACTTCACCTTTGTAAAATAGAAGAAACAATAAACATTTATTCTTTATCGTCTATTCTTTGTATGGATTAGTAACAGTTATTTTGACTGCTGAAAGGTGTACAAAGCATTATATGATAACCTGCAGAAAAATTGAAACATTCCATTGGTCCTGATAAGAAATATTCGGCCCTGATATCGTTGACCGAGATTTGTAAGCTTCTCGATAGCACAATTCACGGAAACTGTGTTGGTTGGGTTATTCGATCATTTAGTGGAGCTGGACTTTACACTTACAGCTTTGCTATCTGGCTGCAGTTTTACGTCACATTTGATAATTATAATTATAAATAATCGTACGTATCACTGGGACTTTAATGTGTAATAATCGTGATCATTATGTCAAGTCACAAAAAGAAATTCATTTCTACAATAGTTGTTATTGATCGTATCTTACGTACATTTTTATCTCTTCAGGTTCTATCAATGGAGTACAAGAATCATAATTTTCTAATTGATGTTTTAGTTGCCAGATATGAAAACCTATGTCTCGAAAATGATTCATGTTGATTATGGTGATTTTTTAGTATTTTTTTATTATCAATTATTCGCTCTGAAAAAGTGTAAACAATATTTATCGCGAAGTAATGGTACATTTCCGTATTTACAATTTGAAATTCGAATAAACTGAGTTGTACACGGCAATATCGAGTTTAAAAATTGATAAATAGATAGGAAATGTTAACAAAGTCAAAGCATGAAGATATCGTACTACTAATAGACGCTGAAACGTCAATGACATAAATAGCTTACTGCTAACTCTTCTCTGGTAATTATCTTCATTGCTCCATTACTTGCCTGGTAAATTCAAATTTTCCGCTTTCTTTCTGACGTAAATGATATACACTCACAACAGAAAAAACACGATCCTATTTCAAGACACATGTAATCAAAGATAATATGAATTTGCACGTGGGGTCACTAATGTCATTTGCATATCAAATATAAAGAAGCACGAAGACAGCACGGGACCCAGGAGGTCGAGCTATCGTGATAAATTTTCAAAATTTATATTAACATTCTGACATTTCATCTGTTTCTTTTTTTATTTCAGGAAGGGTAATAAAATTCTAAGTACAAATTTTTTAAGTATAAATTGATCGATAATATATTGCACGGTTATTTAATTACACTATTTTCATCTGTTCCAATATTGGAATATTTCTTTGGTCCGTTAAAGGGTTTCGAAAGTGAATGAATTCCGTTTTAATCACGAGTAATTCTTACGAATAATACTTATTCTACAAGGAATTAGGTATTTATGTAACAAAGTTAATTACAATTGTCGAATAAAGAGCTTCCAACGAGCTTCGTTGCAATTAATCCGATTTACAAATACCATTAACGCTGACGTTTAATAATAATCTGTTATCGGATAGGAGGGATTTTACGAAAGACATATTTTCACGCGAGACCGTACGTCTCTATTTTGTACGATTTTTTATGATTTTCAAGATTTTAGCGACGAGCGATTGTATGGAAAGGAATAATGTGCACGCTCGTCGTGATGTCGAGCGTTTTTTTAACGAATCCGGAAGAGCAACGTGATTCCTCTCCGATGGATCCTCTCTGTGTAAAACCTTTCGTGTTGTGGCGGAGTTTTCGGTATCTTTAAGATTGCCCGCCTTTGTAACATCGATTCATGCCGATTCGTTCAACGGCAAGGGTTGATGCAGCCAAACTCTATCGCCACCCTCTGAGAAATCAGCGGCCGCGTGACCATCGCCTTGCAACACCCATTTTGTGGTCAACAGACCGTCTACTCCTACTGGACCGCGCGCATGGATCCTCGCCGTTGAAATGCCGACCTTTTTAAAGAATATAAGTTTGTGAAAAATACAATAATTGTGGTTGTCCAATAGCATCAAGTTAACAAATGCACTGCGATAAGAAAGACAATTGAGTGTTCGCGGTTACTGGTGGATTTAGTATTCAACTCCGCTGGAGTTTAAATAACTCACCTCTGCGCCAAGACCGAATCTGTATCCGTCAGAGAATCGTGTACTAGCATTATGGAACACGCATGCACTGTCAACCTCCCTCTGGAAATGGGTAGCTCTTTGACTATTCTCGGTAACAATAACATCTGTGTGTCCGCTACCGTATTTGTGAATATGATTTATCGCATCGTCGAGATCCGACACGACCTCGATGGCACATTCGAGTGCTCCGTATTCTACCTTCATGCTTTTCGCGGCCGGTGGTCCGAACGTTAACAACTCTCTCAGTTTTGGTCCAGAATGTACTTTTACCTGAAATATTAACCGAAGATTCGACACTACAAAGCGTTATTTCGTTTTATAAAAAAATATACAAAGATAGGACTTTGCGTTTTCCCTGCTTTTCGAAATTTATAAATTTGGAAACTTGAAATCGAGAACAAGCGAGAGGTTCTTTCACGGTAATTCGTATCCGAAGGAAGTCTAGGTTGTGGGTATAGATATCGCATAAAGTGTCGATCAAGCTACTTACTCCTTCCTTTTGCAGCATGTTGCAGACATCCGAGAAGAAGCTTCCTTTCATGTGGCTCTCATGAATAAGAAGAGTCTCCATAGCGTTGCAAGCGGCAGGGTAATCGCATTTCGAATCCCTTACTATTTTCAAGGCTTTGGACAGGTCCGCGTCTTTGTCCACGAACACGTGACAAATTCCTTCGGCGTGTCCGAGTACCGGGATGTGTTTTGACTGTTCTTGAATGGTTCGAACGAGGTCCGAGCTACCCCGAGGAATAACAAGGTCTATATGCTTTCCCATCGACAACAGGTCACCGACGTCCTCCCTCGTCGAGATTAGAGATATCGCGTTAGAGGCACCGACACTGCTCAACGCCTCTTTGACCAGTTCCATCAAGTACCGATTGCTATTGGCAGCTTCTTTGCCACCTTTCAGAAGAAGACCGTTCGCGCTGGACATTGCCAACGCGGCAACCTGTGGTAGACTGTCGGGTCTCGATTCGAAAATCACCAGCAATACGCCGATGGGCACGGTAATTTGTCTCAGTTCCAGACCTTCTGCCAGCTGCGTCCTCCGGAGCACGCGACCCACGATCGTCAGAGAATCGTTGGCAATCTGCCGTAAGCCGGCGCTCAAAGACTTCAGCTTCGCGGGAGTCAAAGAAAGACGAGACAAAAGTGCTTTCGCCAGACCTGTTTTTTCCGCGGCATCGAGGTCCTTTGCGTTCTCCTGCAAGATCTCCTTTTGACGGGTCTCCAGGAGATCGGCCAACACGTTAATGCACTTCGCGCGTTCTTCCGGTTGGAGAGCCTGAAGAGTTCTACTGCCCACTCGAGCTGAAAACGATCGGTTACCGCGACTTGTTGATACCGATGTAAATAGCTAGGGACCGAGGTGAGCCTCGTCTCCCAAACTTACCCTCCTCGTATAATGCTAATGTTTATTAATCGTTTTCAATTAAAACAAGGGGGAGATAGTTGAAGGACTGTTTTGTAATTTGTACAAATTTTTCCCTCCAGCTATTTCATTGAATGGAGCCGAAGGAAATATTGAATAAGTTTTAATAGAATCCAACGCCGATAAAAATTGTCTGGCGAGAAGCTCTCTGGTTCGGAATATTTAACTACTTTTCTTCTCGCTTAACTTTTTCAATGGGATCGCTAGCCAACTTGTTTGAATTAAATATACTCGCGGATGATACGACGCCACTTTTTTCGCTCTGTATCTTAGGAGAGCAGAGTACGTGTCGCAGATAATGGTACAACGGCCACGATACACCGACCGTAAGCTGTTTCGTTTCTACCTTCGATAATCGATGACCCATATTGCTATGGTCGGTAGAACAAAATGACGCGAGGTGACCGATCCCTCCACGAAAAAACTGTCGCGCCCAACGTGATAATCTTTCTCCAATAATTTGTGTTGCAAAGAAATACTAGCCGATCTCTCGAGTGTCCTTATAGAAACATTTTTACCCGATAAAACTACCAAATGGATAACCGGAGATATAGGAATCTGGGCGTTCGAAGATTTAACGTATATTGATAAAAGAAAAAGTTACCGTTTTCAGCGACGACTTCCACAGGCGTGGTCGATTCCGATGTCTGCGTGAAGAACGTGCCGATCTTCCTTCCAGACAAAATGTTCTTGATGGCTTTCTCCTGAGTGCCGTTGCAAATTACAACAGAGACTCCACGATCGAGAGCCCATAACGCGGCATTGACCTTAGCGTCCATACCACCCGTGCCAACCTTCGATTTTTGTCCGAATTTGATGGTGTCCCTGAGGTCAGAGCTGAAGGTGTGCAACATCTTGGCACCGTCCTGCCACGGTGGTTGGTTGTAAATCCCGTCGACGTCGCTCATCAGGATTAAAAGGTCCGCTTCAATTTCTGCGGCCAACATGGCCGCCAACGAATCGTTGTCTTTTATGGAGATGCCTCTTCTTCCGCCGCCTCCGGCTACCTCTTCGTCCGCTTGCGGTGGAGGCGACACGGCGTCATTCGTATTGATTATGGGCACGATATTTAAGCTGAGCAATTCGCTCAAGGTGCTGAAGAGATTCATCCTAGTTTCCTCGTTATAGAAATCGGGTTTGGTGACCAACACTTGGGCCAACTTTACACCGTACTGGGCAAACATGGCGTCGTATAGCGACATCAAACCCGATTGACCCACTGCTGCTGCCGCTCTGGGTTCCAGAGGAGTACCTACGCGAAAACGAGATCAAAACTATCGTGTCGTTTATTTGCGCTGCTTCGTGAATCTGTCTGAGCGGTACAACTTTACGGAAATATCGGACCATCCGAGATGTTCGTGTCGCTTTCGGAGGTAAAAATAAAATCTCAGATTTTTACATTCTCCTCTTTTCCATTTTTATAGGAATTTGCGACTTATTTAGGAATCGCGGTACGCTCTTTGAAGGATATTTTAAAACTTTCTCTCGCAAGAAGTTTTGCAAAGTAATAAAGTGGTGATATGCGAAGCGATGTTAACTTTTTAGACCTTCCGTAATTTTTACTGTCTCGGCGTCTGAAATTTTTTGCGAACTTATAAACAGACGATCGTGAACACCACGGTTTGGTTTCGCACTTTCGCGTTAGAGGAGCGTAGGAAACCGACGACTGTTCTGTTGTTTGCACAAACGTTTCCTTGGGAGCAATAAGAAGCAAGGCTGCACTATTTTCTCAACAATTTCAGTCTATCGTGTTCGATTCTTGCCTCCCGAAAGGAAAATTACCACGACTGTTTTCCCGGGCAAATAGAATCTCGAAGGAATTGCCGGTAAAAGAATTGGGTGGCTCGGCAGTTGTTAGTTTAACCTACATGGGAAAGCTGGACATTGTCAAGTTTGCGAGGAGTTCCTGGACATCCGGAAGTACCTCGGGGATGTTCCAACGCGTTTCAGCTGAAACGTTCGAGCGTTTCTAAGCGAATGTAGCCCGCTTTGAAATTTACGACCATACGTATCGATCTTTTTTGTACAGGCGCGACGTGAATCCGCGGAAAAAAGCAACAGCTTTCCAGTGAACGCGTTCGCTGCCATAAGGGTCGCTGGTTATCGATTTTCCAAATTTAATTTCGTAAAATGATCTATTAAATTGAAATATTGAACGAGCAAAGCAGCGCGGTAATCAAACATGTGCTTACTATTTAAACTCCGCAAGCTAATATTTGAGGTAATCTACGTGTATCGCGTTAAGAATAAACAGTACTCGTTTTTATTGTGGTCGTCAACACGTCGGTACAAGCAAACAGTGTCCAGAATGGTTTTACTACCGCACGTAGCAAAGGGGTTATTCGTTCTCCAAGTACGAATAAGATTGCTCCCGTGAAACGTAATTTATTTACCGCGTCTTGGGTCATGGAATCCTTTGTAAAATAACCATGTAGTACGCCGTAAGTACATCTCAAATTTTTCTTGCTCACGTTTCACACAGTTCGTGATGTAATTTCTTACGGATTAAGTGGCGGGTTTTGGAGATATTCCGCGATTGTGTTGGAACGAGATTTATAAATTTTCTTGTTAACTAATCGGATAACTTTTTGATGAAAGTTTCTGCTGTACTTTTAATCAGAAACGAATCAACCCCTAAGTAATTAAATTTATCCTGTCCGTAATCTTTGAAAAGTATACACACTTAACGACAATGACTTTGTAGTAAATGCACTATTATCCAGAGAAACATGTCCAGTTAACTCATCGTTGATTATCCGCTTAATTAACCCGCGTCACGAATAATTAAAACGCGTTATTTTTTCGACTTAGCTCGTTCTAAGTATAATTATGATTAATTAATGGAGCGCAATGAATCGGGGTAAATAAAAAGAATATCGATTGGCACGCGAATTCGACTGAGTCCACCGTCCACGATGCTCGTCGACGAAACGAGAAAGATACAAGCACACGGATATCGCGTACTCCAATTTGCAGTTAGATGATAATATTCCGAAAATGAAGTTCGTGCTGAAACGATGGGCTCCAGCCTCGAATTACTGCCGGATATTCGAGTCATAGCGTTGCATTCTCGCGAAATAAGAGAGATTCTCTACGAACGAGATATATCTCATACGCTATTGTAATGCGAATCGTGTGTAAAGTTTCTCGGTTTCGTACAGTGGTATTACCGATTTCAAAGGTCATCGTAATTTACGCGATTCAACCAATCGAAGAGTTATACCTCAAGATTTCACCTCTTTCCCCTGTTACGTTATTATTAAGCAAGCATCGACACAGGAAACTGGGATCTTTCGTTCCGTATACTATCGTAAAACCAAGGGTTTAGCCTTTGACGAAGGCAGTCATTAAAGCTGCATGTTTGTACACTTCGCGATATTATCTTTACGAGCGCTGAAAGTTATGCATCTAATTAAAAGTTGATGAGACGTACTCATTTCGAGCAGTATGTTTTAGAACATGACTTAACTGCATTTTCGGATAATCTAAAATTTAGTAATTAAGTTGAGCAATAACTCTGAGTATTCGAGACCGATGACGCACCATATGCGTTCTGTATAATCTATACGTATAATGAAGTCAATGTCATACTGTACGTGTCTTGTATGGGAGATATCAGACAGATCAAAAAAATATCGACACTTCTTGCTTTATTTAAACGAACTAGATTGTTTTATCCTTCGCAGCATTTTAAATGTGTCCACCGATAAAGAACAGTCGTCTCCTTCGATTTTAATATGTAAGTTGTAATTAATTTTAAAGGTATCATTTGAGATATCGAGACGCATTTATGATCATACCTGAACGTTTTCTCATGTGGCCACCGGGACTGAGCGTTTCTCTCATCGATAAGGACATCAACAGTTCCTGAGCGAGCTTCTGTTTACCGAATGCAACTGCTCCGCTAGTTACCATAATACATTCACGACCTCCGTTTTGGCACTCGGCTACCTGTTCCACTATAGACGCTAAGCGTCCCAGCGCCAGTCCGTGCTCGTCCTCCCTCGTGATAACAGCGCTGCCCAATTTCACCACCAAACGACGCGTGTAAGTCAGCTGGCTGCGTTCGCTGAACATCGTGGGTTTTTGCGGTCCTTCTGGCGATTGCATATCTCTACGTAAGTCCGGTCTATTACCCTGAAAAGATATTAATTAATTAACTCTACTCTGAATTAATCGTGACATTACGTGCAACGGTGTTTAAAGCTACCATCTAATTTTATTATATCGGCAAAATAACATTTGGAAAACAAAAAGAAGTAATAGCATTTTATTCTATTTTTGTATCAACCCTCGAAATTGGGTCAATCTACGAAACGCGTGCAATGGCGTCTTAATTAAAACTGGACACGTCAAATTATTGGAAAAGTAATATTTAAAGGAATGGTCCAAAATTTCGACATTGGAAAGTGATGAGCACGAAATATTAACCCTCGATGCAGCTGGATCGGTCACAATTCACGATTAAATCAAGCACTCGAATTTTTCATATTTAAAAGAATTGTGTACAATTTGAAGGAAAGTGTGAAGTTAACTCGAAATTATCCCTAGCTCAACGTTGCGTCGTCCGAGTTAACTCTCGCAGCATCATTTTGACCCAATTATGAAACTGAAGTGCGCAAATTTATTTGTAAAATTTATGCAAAAAGTAAAACTGTGTTCTCTGCACCAAGCGAAATTGCACATTTGTATGTTTGTACATAAAATATTGATTCGCATAAACGTACTTTGAATTTTAACACGATACAGCTTTTAACTGTGCGTACAATAGCGTTTTGTTTATGGGTAAAAAATAACATGCATGCATTCTGTAATGTTTAATATTATTTTGTTCGTGTAATGTTTTAGTGACCTTTCTGTTTCTTAAAAACTGTGCGGTAGGACTGGCTAGTAATCCGAGAGATTCATTAGAATCTAAAGCGAGGACGTTTCCATTTGCAAATGAAAAACCTTCAACAATTTCTATAATTTTTCTTACGGTACCTCTTCGAATATTCTTACATCCAAGTGAATTAATTTATATTTTATCCTAGTCAAAGTACATCGATCGAGTGTTCATTTATTTCCGACGTAATCAGGTCTAAAAGTCTGCTCCAATATTTCGCGAATATTAAATCTTGCTGGGTCAAATTCCTACTTTATTGGCTACTATAATTTTACTACACTATGGCCGACACTCGAATTATTTACACTATCGTACAAGTAATCGAACAACGAACGATTACATGTCATTCGAGCGTGATAGTTCCACCTCTAAGACAGATATAAGCCCAGGTGTTAAATGGCTCAGCATCCATCTTTCGCGATCTACGTATCTATATCTGCGATCGTTCAAGCTACGAACGTTATCTGCTTTCTGCAAAATACTTCACTTCGGAACGAAAAATTCCCGAGGGTCGACGTTAGTTCGATTGCCACTCGAAATACTATCTCGCGCACGTAGAAATTTTCAAAGAAATCAGAAAGCGCGATAAAGAAGACCGTGGTCAGATATTTAATGTAGTTGCCGGCTCAACACCCTCCCCATTAATCTCCGTTGACCGAATCGCGTTGAATATTCATACAAAATCAAAACAATTCGTCCGGCAGCAATTTTCCTCGTTTCATAACTCGTCGTTGATTTCCCGAGTATCGAGAGTTTTCGATTTCCAATTGAAACGCGTTATCGTCTCGACGAGCCTCGCGAGGTTACACGGATTTTTCTAAGACAGTGCATCTTTTTCCCCCCATGGGACACGCTCGATTTCGGATTCGCTTCGACGCAGATTCCACAAGTTTCGTAACCGAAAGATTACCGATTGTGCGTTATAAATCATATCGATGTGATGTCTCTTATCTAGCTTCCCAAGACGCAGTTTATTCCGAACGGTATCAATTTCTAATTCTAACGCCAAACGGAAAACACTGCGACGATAGCGGGTCGAGTAGAATTATTTCTGTGAGCATCGGGGAATCGGTTGTTGAACAACAGGTAATACTTGTTAAAGCAAACAAAGTTTTAACGAATGCGATCGAATATTTTTTCTTCGAGCGTTATTTATCATCCAGTAAATACGGATTTCGAATAATTATACGCTTCGACCTGTTGATTTTCACGGATTGATGTATTGATTCTCATCTGGCATGGAAGAAGCTCGCGGGTTGATGGCACTCGAATTGCAAAAAAGGTATTCATATGCTTTACCCGCGAATAATCGATGATGATTTCCCGTTACTCCCGCTTATCGTAGCAGGCAAGTAGATCGTAATTCAGTGACGATTGATAAAACACGATTCTTATCGTATACGAACAAGAAAAGGACAAATAGAACGGTAGTTTCCTTTCAACTTTGGACAGGTATTCAATTCAAAACAAACAAGAACTCCACGAGATAAAATATAAGTAATAATTCGGTGTAACCTCAATTTAAAATGAATAGCTTTATATGGACAACGTTATAATTCAGTGTAATAATATTATATATAAAATATAAGTAATAATTCGGTGTAGCCTCAATTTAAAATGAATAGTTTTACATGGACAGCATTAAAAGTTTCACCCACCATAATGGGTATACACATAAAAACAAAATGTTTCCAAACCCAAAATTCATAATTGCGGAGTATAAAATTCTATTAAAAAGTGTTACAAGTAAATAAGAATTCCGATATATGAATCGAGTTGTGTAATCAATCACTTTGTAGCCTTTCGATACATTAATCGCGTTAAAAACAAGAAAATATTCCACGATCGCCCCGGGAAAATTCATCTGGATGTAATTGCGGAAGAACAGGATGCACGAAAATAATATTTATAATTTCAATTATATCGCGGGCACGTGTGTGCACAGTGATACCAGTTTGTATTATGTATTCGCGATAACGTCGCGTTACATTTTATTGCGGCACAGCCAATTAAACCAGCGATCTTTAAAATCGAATCATCCGTTGTGCATTCGAAAACGCGTTTTACTCGTTCGTTAATGTTTACTGGAAACTTATCGAGCGGTACACGTTATTATGCAACGTCTATTCGTGTTGTTTATCTGCCCCGTTCAATTTGCGTATAAACAATTTTCGACAGGGAGATTATTTAATTATGATGTGGATCGTTGTTCGCGATAACGGAACGTAACGCAAATTTTCATCGTGGAATTATTCGATTCATTTATAACATTGTACTGGAATTCGAGAGGCGAACCACTTGTACGATTTACAGTATTTCCTTCGAGAGTGCAGCTAATGAGTTAGCTACAAATTTCGTGTTTTGAAAATCCGAGTAACAATTTTAATCGAATTTTGGTTTGAAGTGCATGGTCAATTTATCACGCATGTTCTTCGTAAGATCACGCATGTACTTGGTAAGATCAAAGGCGAAGGTCTTGGACAAAATTTTTGACTCTTGGGAAAACAAGCAGCACATCTTTATAATAAAGATGTACTAAAGTCATGGTATTATTTTGAACATTATCTTACAAAGTTTGACATAACTTTCCAGAATGTGAGTTCAAGAGAAGCCAGCAATGTTATACTATAGGTTTCACCTGAGTACGTCAGCAATTAAAATACATCTCGACAAAAACTACAATGCTTTAACGATCGGTTAACTGCCTAACTTGAGCAAAAATTACTGAGAGGATCTTCATTGGTGACTTTTCATTCGACACAAAACTTGAAACGATTTGTAGGCATTAGTGCATCGCAAATAAATAGTACCGAACCGCGACGATTGTTAATAAATTTCGCAACTTGAAACAAGAAACTCAAGACCCATCAGTTTGACAAGTTTGACGTAGTTCTGACGTTAATGATAACCCAAGCGCGCGTAAGTTTGCTAGGTCGATTAATTTCACCATCCAGCGAGACAGAGCGATCCTCGAGCGGCTCGATTAAAAACGTAACCGATGATCGGGCACGCGTTGAAAATCGAATCAAGACTGCAGAACGTCCAATCATCGTGTTCGTCGGATCGAACGATCCTGTGTTGAAATTCGTCGGGCAAAAGGTGAGAAATAAGAAGAAAAGTTGCACGTACTGCTTGCTCGGGAATCCTCAGCCTAGAGGTGGACGAAGCCAATCTTCTTGGAAAACATCCAACCTTGGCGGACCTCAATAGTAATAGCTTCGCGTACATGGTTGCACCTTTGAACTTTCTCTTTTTCGTTCACGATCTCACCGGACTATCAACACAATTACGATCTTCTCTGATCAAACGTGCGCGAGACGATCATCGGTGGGTTAGGTTCTTAGGAGGAAAGTCTGATGAACTGGAGCGAATTTTCTCCGCGGACGAGTTCGGAGCGAGGAGGATCAGGATGAAGCGTACGAGGATAAGAAGAGGAAGAAGACGGAAGTCGAGGAAAGGACAGAAGATTGTGCGTGCACCACCGATATCGAGGTGGAGCGGTCGCCACGATGGTCAACGACACACTGCTACTCGCTGCTCGACGAAATCGCGGCAGAAAAGCTCGTTATCGCGAGCAAAAGATTAGAAGTCTATCCTTGAATAAATGTAACGTGTGGCCCCACTCGGTGGGAGAAGATTCTTCTCCGGGAGCGACGTCTTGACGTTTACAAGCGATGACCGACCTTAGCGATGACGATTTGAAAAATCCTCCGTATCCCCGGTGACGAGAGATATCCAAGGCCACGCAAAGTCCGCCTTTGTGCGTCCTTTGTGCAAAGAAATTCATGGCGCACTCATTGGCGTAACTGGGGCTTTTCCTCTAGGGTGGATCTTGTCGCTCCCCGTTACACCCGATACCTTTTTCGTCGTTTAAAAATGTAGAGCTTCCAAGCTTGCGTATTCAGGTATTTTGGGGATACGTAGATTTAGGGGTGTATCAACGTTGGAGTTTTGAAATTTGACCATTTAGAAACATGAAAATTTAGTTATTTCGAGGGTCAGGATTTGGAAACTTGAAAATTTGGAAAGTTGGGAATGGGACATGGAAACTTGTGAAGTTTCGGAGTTAACTTGAAAAAATTCCAGAATTTTTCGCACCGAATATTCCGTGCATCTTTTATCCTACGTCCTTCACGCTACGTGGACAATATTTTGGGGAGGGGTTAGGTCTATACTGGTTCTTATCTAGTTACGCCAATGGGTGCAACTATACGAAAGTCAGCGAACTTTGACCCAGGCAAAATCGAGCAAACAGACTGTCCGGCTATCTCTCTTCTTGCGTCTTGAGTCATTCTTTTCGTCGATGTTTCTTGGTGTACGTGAGATAGATCTTGTGTGTACGATCGGTTCTAACACACAGTCGTCGAGCACACGTTTTGTGCAAACGAGGAAGCTGTTGCAGGGTCTTGGTGTTTGTTTTTCTGGCTTTTGTAAATCGTCTGTTTGCAACGTTGTTTACTAGGGAATCACGCTCGCTAGAGAGCGTCGGAGAATCGTGTTTACTAGAGAATTATAGATTCTCTAGGCGGATAACGCACTTTTGTTGGATTAACACGTTCGTTGCGGTAGCTTTTCTCTGTCTTTTTTTCAGTCGCTCATGTTTGGTATGGTTCGCTGATACTATTATTGAATCGTGGGCTCTGATTCACTCCAGATAAAAAGTCTAATAATGATATTTCGACGACAGACGTCTAATTTTACCATTGATTCATATTTGTTCGGTAATATTGATCAAGTTCGCGAACGTCGTTAAAAATGTTTAGGACAAATAAGTCCCTATCGTTTATCGCACTAGTCTGTTGCCTTCACAAAAATATTATTGCTCGTTTCAGTGAAAATAAGGCAGAGAAAAGTATTGATATGTTCCATGCAACACCGTAGGTGCTAAAGTATGGCTGGTAATCAGTCTACGGTTAAGAATCTTCAACGTTTGAGAATTTTCAAATATTTTACGTCCATGAAGTTCGTTTTTAATCAAACAAAAGCTCCATCGAGTATTCTTTTAGAATAACAAAATGGCAAAGTGTCGCGTTTAGACGAAGAAAGAGAGTAACATTGAGCGTTGTAATTATGAGAGCCATATTGAAAATGCGAGTCACGAAGGATACGTGTCGGAAAATATGAAATAGTCTGTCGTTGTTTACGCGATGCTGTGTGTGTTCGGGTTGCGAGTCCAGGGCGCAATTAAAATTCGCGTAAACAGCAGGAACACGTTAGCCGGAAGGCAATCGTACTAGGTGAATTTCTAGCTGTTCGTAATCCAACGTGATCCCTACGACAACGTTGAATGAAGTAGAAGCCAGCACCGGCTTACGCCCTATGTAAGGTGTCCCATTTAATTTATCCACGTAATTATCTTCCGAGCGTATTCGTTTTTCAACATCTCAAACAAAATTTAATATACTTCATAAATAAGAAAATGTAATATTCGACCGGACATGGTATTAAACATATTTTGGGACAAAGTTTCATTTGCAGATTTGGTCGAAAGTTCTCTGGTGACATTGGATTGATAGTCCGATTGGATGTTATCAAAATTTACCTCAAATCTAACCCAACACTAATTCGATGGTAACTTATCTAACGAGAGAAATGCTTTGATACCGAAAGATACTTACGGTTCGGCTATAAATCATTACCGTGACAAGAAACGAAAAAATGGTTTATCGACATCCTCGCAGAAAGCAGAAAATAAGTTTTCTGTCGGAGACACGATGGTATATCGTTGCACGTTCGTGGACGAAGCGCGGTATCTTTTTCCGAAGAACGTGATGTTGAAAGATCGTTAATGGCAATGAAGTGAAGAACCGGAGAAAAAGCAAGGGGAGACAAGGCTCTGACAGTGAGTTGCCACGGAATACATCTCTTTTATCAATTTATCGACGCGGTTAAACTGCACCTTTCGCGAAGAAGACGCGAAATTTATCTGCAGCTACTGCGTATCAATAGATACACCATTTTTAAGCTATTATTTGTGCACGATACCCCAGTAATAGTTGACGCATGACTTTGTGCATATAAATCCGTTCCAGTGGTGACATACGGGAATAAAATCTAGAAGCGCACGGTATCAAAATATCCACTGGTGAAACGTACGAGGCTCAAAATATTAAATAAAGATAACGAGGTTAAATCCGTTGAAATCGTTGGACGTGTTGATTGTCATAAACGTCAGGCGGTGACTGACATCAGCATTTTAATCCGATCCAATAATTACGGAAGAAAAATAGCCAGAAAATTTGAAATACCATCAATATTAATCAACCACTCGCACCCTTAATTAATTGCAATTTTAACGTGCCGTAGTAAATGCAGCAGTAAGGTTCGTTAAGTATCGGAGAACTTTTGAAATAGTGGACAAATGAAATATTCCTTTCATTCCGATCTTCCTACGGATCTTAAGAGTTTATCTAATTTAAAGACGATAAAACACAAGTTCGAGCGATGAGTGAAACTCTGCAAGTACTTCCGGAGGATTAATAATCGATGAGCTCGCATTCCTCTGTGCTCGCTTTAATCTTTATACCGGATGTTACAACCTGCGTTTACCGGAAGGATGCTCCTCTTCGGTGAACCCGGTTCCAGCGCAGTCCGTAAGAATCAGCAATTGCTGTAAATCATGTCAACGCGTAATATCGCTCGATTCGTAGCAGCGATACACGCGCTGTTTGTCATCCATACTGTCAGATCCATTGTTCCTAGCGAACTACTTATTCGTCATTGTGGACAACGATTTGACTCGATTGATTGCGTGCGCATTTCACGCGAGAATGTCCGCAGATTTATTTGCATTTTGCTCGCTCGCCTGCAAACGAATGGCGAAAAATGAATTTAATTAGTCGATCGACGAGTTCGGGACACTTCGAGGACCGCGCGAAAATTTCAATTAAAATCGTAGTTGTAAATCTTCCAAATAATGTCCATAGATCAAAATTGTAACGAAAGGTGCACGAGCATAAATCTTCTTCGGGTATTCGGATGTTCGGTGCTCGAAAATACGAGACACCCCGGATATGGGATACTCGTTAAAAAAGAGTGAGATATATCGGTAAATAGTAGATCGTTAACGAGTCCTGGTTCACGTAACTAGCGGCCGTAATTGCCGATAAAAATAATTAACGGTGTTCACCGATTAACCGTGGTTTTACGCTGATTTGTGGGATAGAAAAGATGCAATCGATTCGAATATACTGTCAGAGTTATATTTCCATTTATATGGGTTTTTATGGATATTAGCGATGGACTTCCATTAATGGAGAACGCGGAGAAAGGGCTTGTCACATTGTCACGCGATGTGTTAATACGCGCTGGGTCACTATGCACTGCACAACTATGAGTTCGATCACTATACCTTGGCTCGCTACGCAATGGAACATCATACGCTCAATGATTGTCGCGCACGGTGATTCACGGAGAGCGTTACGATGTAAAAGGAAAAAGCTTTTGAACAAACCTATTATATCGCAGTCTACAATAGCTATTGGGCCATACATTGCCGACAGTGGTAATATAACTAAAGTCTACTGTATTTGGAAGTATTGTATTGACCGCGTTGCATTCGATTAGCAACGTTGAAACGGTCGAAACAATGAAAAAGCTAGTCAACTGACTGGCCAGTAAAGGTGCACGCCACGGGATCCTTTTGTTCTCCGTACAAAAAACAGAGCAATCCCTCCTGGAGAGGCGAAAAGTTTCGAAAGCTATTTAAAGTTAGCAGGGCCGCTCGTTATAACGTCAGCCTTGCCAGTGAATTCACTTAAAATTAAGGAAATGTTGGCGTTGATAGGTAACGTGGCTCGCGATACTATCGGATCTCGGCCGTTTTCGGGCGGAAGGTAAAAGTTCACGCGAACCCATCGAATCTCCGGCGAAAGAAGAAAGGGAAAAGAATAGACGGGAAGGGGTGGGAAACGTTGAGCACGACGGTTAAATCCTATCTCGATCGCATTGTTTTGCTACTCTGGCTAAGAAGAGATCACTGGTCTGTTTAGGCGAAATTCTCGAATACAAAGAGCACGTCGAGTGATTATGAAGGTAGAAAGCACACTTTCCAGTGCTCCCGAAGTAAAACCTTTTCATCCTCTATTTTCTGCATTTCCTTTTCTCCTTTTCATCGCTGGCCCGGTCTTGCCTTTAATTCGCGCAACCACCGCGACACAATGTAATATTTATCATTGAGAGAACCGTTTCTTGAACCGGGGGTCGTGACGAGAACAATGATCCCAGGATTATAAACGATGGACTTGCGGTATAAGAAAATCGTGCGTTCTACCGTCACGGAAGCACGATTGTCGCTAGCGATGGGATCAAGTCCGACGTGTGCTAAAAAATCAAAGGATTTCCATGTTTCGAGATTGGCAATTTGTCGTGTAGCGATCTGATATTTGTTTTGGTTATTCGACACGCGAGTAGTGGGATCTCCCTACGGGGAAATGGTGAAGTTGAAAGAGCGAATTGGCTATTTGTTGCCATACCCGAGGGACATCCTTTTTTACAACGCTCCATGGGTTATAATCCACGGTAAACCTACGCGCGACGGCTCGATCATTTCAAAGAATTAAAGAGCGTTTGATGCACATTCGAAGGTGCTTGCGAAACGTTTGATCCCATCGCTGATCGTCGTAGTTGTCGAATCAGAAATATGGCTGTTCAAAATGGCGGTTCGGGTTCCCGTAACCCGCTAGTGTATATGGGTTGCAATAGAACGGCGATACTTTTTGCTTCCGCGCGAAACGATTTCGGATTTGCCTGGTTTTATCGACTTTTATCGTTTCATCGGCGATAAAAGTAAGGATTAACGTAAGAACATTTCCCGACATTTTTCTCTCGCAGTTTTTCGCAGTCGTATCGGTTCGGTTGTTCCACCGACGCAAGTGGAATGCGAAACATTCTTCTGCGAATGAAAAGCTCTCCTAAACGCGATCGTTGCTAAGAAAAAAAATGACCGGCTATTTAGGATTTCTGAGTGTACCAGAAAAGCCACATTAAAAGTTACGTTTCATAACGAAGAATGTGCGCGTGCAACCATTAGGCCAGAGCGGGAGCACGGAGCGAGGGTGAAGCGGGGTACGGCGAAGAAAAGAAAGAACGTGGAGTAAAAAAGCGGGAAAACAGAAGCGATAAAACTGCAGCGAATCGTCGCGTACTCTGGTCCACGACCCCCCCGTTAAGCAACAAAAGCCTCCGGAAATCCCTGCCGGAGTCAGAAGCGCGAGCAAACACAAGATTCATTGAATTAAACTCGAAGGGACCGGAGGTTTAACCACGCATTTTAGAGATGTACTTCGACGTCGCGTGACACGAATGGACAAAAAGGTGTATTCTGGGAACTTCGGGGTTGAGACGGGCCGTACAACCTCGAAAGGAACAATGAACCGTGCGCGGGAAAAAGATAGTCGAAAAGATGGAAACGACGGAAGGGAAAGAATAGATGGAACGAGGGTAGTAAGCAAAAAGCATAAGGCAGAGGAAAAATGTAACGAAGGGAGATAGAGAAAGAGTGGCGAGTGTTAAGAAGAAAGTCGGAAAGGTAGACGTAAGCAAATTGAGTGGATAAGTGGAACGGGGGTAAGGACAGAACGCAAAGGGTTGAAAGAAGATGAAAAACGTAATGGATGAATGGAGAAGGGGTAAAATAGAATGGATAGGTGCAAATCGAACGGATAGACGAAAGGGGGTAGCAAAGATCAAGGGGCGAAGGGCGTGATAGGAAAGACGTAATGGACAGAAGAAAAAGATCGGTAAGAAAACCTTAAACCAGGATGGAAGAAAATAGAACGAATAGCGAAGAGGCGGAGGGGTCGAATCGGTAATACGACAGTCGAAGAAGAAGGAGCGCTGTTCGAAGAATAGGTTCAAACCGAACGAGCAGACGAAAGGAGGATAGCGAAGAAGGAGCACGGAAGGGTGAGAAGAGTAAGAAGGAACATCGAAGAAAGTATCGGAGACGGGAGAAAGAGAGAAGACAGGTTTTTCAGAAAACACCGCCCTCCAGATCTCTCTCTGTCGTTCCCCCCGTGGCCTCTTCTTTTTCCCTTGGCTCGTTTTTCCCAATTCTGGCAGCTGTACGTTTTGTCGGACAGGGGAATCCGCGCATGTGCCACGGTGGTGGCAGAGAATGTGCGCGTGCAACCATTAGGCCAGAGCGGGAGCACGGAGCGAGGGTGAAGCGGGGTACGGCGAAGAAAAGAAAGAACGTGGAGTAAAAAAGCGGGAAAACAGAAGCGATAAAACTGCAGCGAATCGTCGCGTACTCTGGTCCACGACCCCCCCGTTAAGCAACAAAAGCCTCCGGAAATCCCTGCCGGAGTCAGAAGCGCGAGCAAACACAAGATTCATTGAATTAAACTCGAAGGGACCGGAGGTTTAACCACGCATTTTAGAGATGTACTTCGACGTCGCGTGACACGAATGGACAAAAAGGTGTATTCTGGGAACTTCGGGGTTGAGACGGGCCGTACAACCTCGAAAGGAACAATGAACCGTGCGCGGGAAAAAGATAGTCGAAAAGATGGAAACGACGGAAGGGAAAGAATAGATGGAACGAGGGTAGTAAGCAAAAAGCATAAGGCAGAGGAAAAATGTAACGAAGGGAGATAGAGAAAGAGTGGCGAGTGTTAAGAAGAAAGTCGGAAAGGTAGACGTAAGCAAATTGAGTGGATAAGTGGAACGGGGGTAAGGACAGAACGCAAAGGGTTGAAAGAAGATGAAAAACGTAATGGATGAATGGAGAAGGGGTAAAATAGAATGGATAGGTGCAAATCGAACGGATAGACGAAAGGGGGTAGCAAAGATCAAGGGGCGAAGGGCGTGATAGGAAAGACGTAATGGACAGAAGAAAAAGATCGGTAAGAAAACCTTAAACCAGGATGGAAGAAAATAGAACGAATAGCGAAGAGGCGGAGGGGTCGAATCGGTAATACGACAGTCGAAGAAGAAGGAGCGCTGTTCGAAGAATAGGTTCAAACCGAACGAGCAGACGAAAGGAGGATAGCGAAGAAGGAGCACGGAAGGGTGAGAAGAGTAAGAAGGAACATCGAAGAAAGTATCGGAGACGGGAGAAAGAGAGAAGACAGGTTTTTCAGAAAACACCGCCCTCCAGATCTCTCTCTGTCGTTCCCCCCGTGGCCTCTTCTTTTTCCCTTGGCTCGTTTTTCCCAATTCTGGCAGCTGTACGTTTTGTCGGACAGGGGAATCCGCGCATGTGCCACGGTGGTGGCAGCCTCGAGGACGTAACCAGCGCCGGAGACAACGAGAGGAAGCAGGAAAGAGTACGAGTGGATGCAGTCCGGTGCGAGCAAGAAGGACGAGCAGGGGGGTTGATACGTGTGAGAGTACCCTGAAGAGTGGCGTCGGTAGTATACGTGGTGGGAGGAGAGCCGACAGAGGGGCGAGAGGCGACCGTTCACGTCTTTTCGACGTCGACGCAACCCCGTTGGCGCAGAATAGCTGCTCAGTGCTCGTCGAACGGCGCTGTGTTGCGACGGGACCATGCCGCCGCGCCCTGCACCACCGATCAACCGATCTCAGGTACGCGAGAATCATCATTATCATCCCCGAGCGATCGCTTCATATTCTTCGTCCCTACGTCCGATCGGTTCTGCACGGTACGATCTTTGGCGTGCATTTCGTGTTTCGACGGAAACGTGACTCGTCGCCCTCGTCGGATCATAGATCGAGATGAATCTGTTTCTCGTGGAGAACCGTCAGTCGTTCGTTCGTTCGCGATCTTGTGCGGTCTCGTGCGCTTCTAACGGAGCAGCAACACGCTCGATCATCGTGGTCACGAGTGCGACAAATTTGCTTTGATCCGTTTGCTCTCTCGTTGCATTCTCTGTTATGATCCTTGTGTGCGGTTTAGTGGTTTCGGCACGCACGCGAGGGAGAATGTTAAGTTCCGTCGATATCCGTTAGTCGGTATCGTGATCTTTAGTTACCAAAATTCACATCGAATTCGTTTTATTGCTCTGCGCTCCCCTGTGAAAATCATCGCACGGGTTTACGCGTAATCATCGACCAGTTATCGATTGATTATAAAAAAAGAAGGAGAAGGAACACGGGGGGAAGTTCGCGGGAGGAAATTATTATCACAGCCAGCCAGATGAGTCTTCAGTCGATGTCCTCGATTTTTTATTCGCGAGAGAACCGAAGCTCCTTTTATAGTCGCGTCTCCTTTCCCGACGATCGCGTCTCGATCGCGTTCCAATCAACCGTTTCGAGAACGCGAACAGGAAAACGAGGATCGTGATTTCTTAATGCTCTCAAAGAGGATCGAGATGGATATCGCGATTTACGCAAGCTACGCTGCACTAGCTGTAAAGCGTTATTTGTCTCTGGAGGGCTTTCACGATGTCACTGGGGAGGGTAAGAAGGGCGAGATACTTTTCGTTGGAGGGTACGAAGTTGGTCCTTGGGCAGTTTGCGGTCTCTCTGCTTACCCTCGCCTCGTTAGCGGTGTTTTGTGTACGTTCCGGGAGTACGCGTGAAACGATTAAAACCGTTCTGTGTGTAAGCCCGCTCTGTGTCGAAGATCAAAGAAGCGCGAAAGGATTGTATGGCAGATTTCCAACGAATTCAGAAGGGGGATGCTTTTGATAAAGGTGCTGCTTGTGCGCCAGACGGTTTACCTCGTTTCCTTGCCAGCGGGGACCGATCTCTTTCTCGTTTAAACGTTTTCTTCTCTTCAATGTTTAGCGTGTGACCAGGACCACATTTAGAGAGGTACCGCGTTAATTAGCGGCGAGATCCGCTACTAATTTACCAACGAGTTGAAACAGTGCGATGAAGAGGAAGAGGATTTCTAACGTTTAGTGTCAGAGATTTTGGGATTTTACTTTATTCAAACACGGATTGGATTAAGAACAACATACAGAGCAGCTTCAAAATAAATATTAGATAATATTTGTTTTGGAAAAATTTTGGATGCTGGAGGACGAGTGGGAGGAACAGGAGAATAATTTTACAGTGTATTTCTAGTACCGTATACTGATAGTAATAACAATGGAAACTGCATAAAATTGCTACGGGTTTTATTTCTCCGACCTCTCACTAATGTCCTAAGGGTTTGCATTGCACCACGCGGTCGCAGAAATGATTCCATTCATTACGATTTCGCTTGGCTTTATTAACACTACCGGAATAATTTTACAAACTGACAATGAGCGTGTCTGAATAGTGGAGAAGTTGGAACTGGCGTCCAGTTAACAAAATGTGGAATTTCGAACAAAGGATGCTCGTGACGGAGGCGTCCGAACGCCAATGAAGGCGTCTGCTGATGAACGGTTCGCACGCCGAACAATGCATTCATGAAAATATTGTACGGTAGTAGTAATGGTAGTAGTAACAGTAGTAATCATTAACAAGTCAAAGATTTCAGGTGCTTGCAATAATAACAGAGAGAAACAAAAGGCGTTTAATCAGTCTCGCTTCAAATTCAAATCAATTATTTTCACGTAAAATTAACTTTTATAGCAGCCATCATTCGACATCGTAAATTTTTACGACAGACGTCGCATGTAAACAGAAAACAATTAGCTTAAAACTACAATTAGTTCAAGGTAGCATGATAAAATCATGTTACTATTAATACTGATATAGATTACACGATAGACTCGGTATCATGCTTTTATAACTATTCATAGTACAATTAGCATTGTCGTCGTCGTGTTATCGACAATGTTTGTCTGTCATTTAACTGTAAAAGAGATAAATGTACAAATGAAAAATATAAACTCGAAGTACTTTAATTGTTCGATCGATTTTCGAATCCTGTATTTTATCAAAACATCTGAACTCGGGTTTCACGGAGAACACGTTCTATTTGCATTTAAGGTGGTCTTTTTACGCTCGACGATGTTGATTCAGCGAAAAAGTTAAATTAATAGAAAACGAAGGGGAATAGAACTGTTCAAAAAGTTGAAGTATTTGGTCGATCAAGTTAAGAGTATCGGTTTTCTTCGATTGGCCCGAGAAACAGGGGCAACTTAAACCGTAGTGCAGTTAACTACGTTAACTGGAGTTCGACCGGACGTTTCGACGAACGTTTCAATCAATCGAAACCGCGCTGCGTTGCGAACTGCTTAAACTTCTCTGTTGAGGGCGTCGATTACATTCCCGTACAACTATTCGTTTAAGATAACGCCATGTATATTTGCAATCTTCCATCGCAATTAAACCTGTTTCCCTACAGATATAGAGACGTTAGAGCGTAGGGATCTAGGAGTATAGAAATTTATGAGTGAAATTGCCGGCTACAGGGATTTGGGGAATAGAGGTCCATACGTAGACCTAGTATAGGGAATAGAGATTCAGGAATGGGTTACCGAATTTAGGAACATACGTTTGGATATAACATATGTTTCGCTTTTATAGCGTACACAGATTTTAATTTCAATTTCAGCTCGACTGGGCGAGAAAAGATGTAGGTAAGCGTTAAAAAAAGGGGAAAGGAAAGAAATAAAACGCATCGGACAAGAAAGAAAAATGAAGAGGGTAAGATCTTACCGTGTCCCTTTTTTCGCTTCGTTACGGTTTAGCGATGATACACGCGAGATGGTACGAGAGCAGCGAGTGTATCACGCGGCAGCAACACAGAATAGATATTTCATTGTTACGGGCTTGGGAATATTTTTCACTGACAGGAAATAATGCTGGTCCCGTCTTGTCTCGTTAGGAGGATTCCTGTAGCTATTCTTGCACGTCACTCGTGCACGGCCTTTATGTCGTGCGAGCGGATTAATGGTACAGAAAGAGAGGAGAGGACTTTTCGGTTGGCCGGTCAGCTTGCATTACGACGAAACAAAGTTCAGTCGAACGCGGTGGTGACGTCGTCGTCGTTTCGTTAAGGAAGAGGGTAGTTTTCAGCCGATACGAAACTTTCTCTCCATTTGCGCGTCCCACTCGAAATTTTACGATCCCCGACAGAAAGAAAGGCCGCGATATCAACGAAAGAACTACTGTACTCGATGGTATTACAAGAGCCCCGCCTTTTATCGTCGTCGTTTCGATCAGGATAAGCTCAACGCGTATTTTCATTGTTTCGTCGAGCAAATATCGCTGATTGTTCATCGTTACTGCAAAAGTTTCTGCCTATCGATGATCTTTTTCTTATCGAGAAATAATTTTCTCGTCATCGAATTTAATGTTAAATTTAAACCGAAAGAATTTTAATTTTGTTGTATAATACAGATGTACACAATTCGGTACGGTTTTTGAAAGGGGCTTTCAGTTTGCTTCCCGTCTTTTTCTCGTTCGCTCGAATTTTTTCCACAGCGAGAGATTTTACCCTTAGCAGCTCAAAATGCTAATATTTTTTAAATTTTGTACATTCTCCGTAAACCCTCCTTCAATCTGTATACCTTTGGGGTTGGTATTCAATAAATATGCTCCCCTGCCAGTAGTAAAACGAGATTTTGCGCTTACACAACTCCGCTAGTCTGAATCCGTATTTCACCTGCCTCCCGTCCGTTTTTCATCCCTTACAATTTTTACCAAAGATAAGGGTTAATCTTACCCGTTTCGAGGCGTTATTATTTCCTAAATTTCTCGGGTTTTTCGTAATCAGCATGTCATCTTGGATCTTAAACGCTCGATCTTGGGAGGTTTACTTAGAGGGTTGATATTCGATAAACATCCCTCCTCCAGTTAGCAGCGATTAAACCGGAGAACAGGACTTAACACGGCTCAGGCTGGAAGATTTTCGTAAATTTGTTCGTTTTATATCGTGTTCTCCAATCCGGTATCTCCGGTGTCAGGCCTCGATAAATATTCACATCCCCTCCGTACCGTTCCACAGAGCCACAGAGAAAGACAGAAGGTTTTGCAAGTGTTCGAAGTGTTGGTGAATTTTCGCCGTACAGGGGGAGCGGCATAGGTTATTGATTATCGTGAATGGCTTTATAAATAACCGATCGTGTAAGAGCAGCCACCGGAGACGCGTAAATATCGCTCGGCAGGCGATTCTTTAAAATCGCCACGATGCTCCACAGCGTCTCTGTGCTAGTCCTGCGGAGATGAAATCCGGTTGCGTTTTGATCGATAGACTGGTAATTCGTCTTGAATTCTCATCTTCATTTCCATTATTCGCGGATCATCGAGACACGCCGGTGTCAGGATCGAGATTTGTTTTAATACGGTACCAATTTCAGAGCTAGAATGTATGACACACCCTTATCAAACCTTGCAGGGTAAATCAGAGACGAAGGAAACCGTAGTGTAGGATATGGATTTATTACTATTTTTATAGTTAGAGGGATCACAGTAACGACATCGAATATAAGGAGCTATTTCTGTTTGACTGAATATAAGGAAGGGAAAAAGTTGGAAGCTATTGTACTCGTTATTTGTTTCAGATAAATACTTTCTTACGGTTGCTATTTCAGTACCATTTTACAAAAACTTTTGATGCAATTAAGTACAATTCGTTTCTAAAGACGACCTCCGCTGAATAAACACATAAAAAATTGCAAAATTTCTAGCAGAGATGTTGTCTAATATTTGACAGGGCTTTAATCGTGAAAAGACAAGCTTTT